GGAGTGCGTAGTCACGTTTTTTTGAGTTAGATGATTCGTCTGATCCCTAGAGATTGTTTTGGGATTGCTAGTTCCTACTTTTTTTATGCCGCGATAGCGTTTGGGCATATGTTAAAAAGTTGGAGGGGGTTCGCTCGTGCTTCGCGAGGCCTCCGGACCGGACGAGGGCGGGCGGGGCGCGCGGCGTGGAGGCGGGGAGGCGGCGGCGGCGCGCCTTGATGTAGCTGAGCGGGAAGAAGCGTCCCTTGGTCATGTGCTGCCCGTCGAGGTACATGCGGTACTGGAAGGGGAGCCAAGGCATGAGGAAGCACTGCAGGTGCAGCTGGAACTGCGACGGCGGGAAGTTCGCGCCCACCACCATGTGAGGCCGCAGCGCCTCGCTGTGCGCGCTCGTCCACTCGGTGCGCGCCGCCCCGCGCAAAAACTTGTGCCGAAAGGACGGAGAGGCGAGGAACTCTTCGCAGGCGCAGGCCCAGGCGGCCTCCTCGAGCGTGCGCACCAGCAGCAGCCCCTCCCGCGGCCGCCGGAGCAGGAACCGCCAATCGGGGATGTACGCCGAGGTGGGCACCGCGTTGAGGTGGCACGGCGTCAGAGCGAGCAGGTCGTCGAACACGAGCAGCTGCGCGCTCTGCCGGCGTATTGAGATGTGCAGCGGGAAGGGCGCCGAGGCGATGCCGTAGATGAAGCCGCTAAACACGTTTGGCGAGTGCGACGTCTCCGCCGGCAGCGGCTTCCCGCACGCGTTGCACTCTGTCAGCGAGAAGCCGCAGACCTTGCCGCAGGAGCACTTCTTGACGATGTTGCGCAGCTGCGCGACGAGGGCGGCCTCGGTGGCGTGCGCCGCAGCAAACGCCTCCAGCGTGCCGTCGAAACGAGGCGGTGAGGCCTCCCAGTGGCAGTCCACTGTCGCGCCGGCAAAGGCGGCCGCCTTTGCGCCGGCCAAGCAGGAGCCGTCTGGCAGCACGCCGGTGCGGCTGTCAACGTCCCCGCTCGTGCCTGCCCTGGAGGGCCTAGATTTGTCGTCTCCGTTGGTCGATCTCTTCTTGTGACGAAACATGCCGCGCTGGTCGGATTGCCAGCAAGTGAGCGCGTTTCTGTACGCCAAGCCCTCGCCCGGAGCGGAGAGCGGAAGCGGAGAAGCGGAGGCGGCTCGGGGCGAGCGTTTGAGCAAGAAGGACCGGTGTCCGCCTTGATCCGGGGTCCCCAACCACAGACCCTGATTGCCAGCAAGTGAGCGCGTTTCTGTGATCTGTGATCTGTAAGGGTCCGCCCGCAGGCGCATTTTGTATACCGAGGCGGTGCCCGAGCTGACTCGAGAAAGACCGAGAAAACACAAAAAATGAAGAAAGCCGAAGTCGGACGCCACGCTGGGTCCCGGGAGAGCGAAGCGGCTTTGGGGGCTCTAGCTCCCAACGCAGGACAGAGCAAGAGAAGGAACGGAATAAAATGACCATCCCGCGGCTTCGCTCGCCCTGCTCCGGCTGCGACTGCACCAAGGGCGTCGTCTTCGCCCTTAACTGCACACTCCCTCTTGCCGGAGTTTATCAGAGCGGTGTAGTGTTCAATCCACGTGTTTATATGCCGTCCACTGCGGCCACCACCTCCTTGCCTCGCCGCGCCTTTGTCGCCTGCCTCTACGCGGGCTGCGCGACCGGCAGCTTTTACGGCTTTGGCATCTACGGCGGAGCCATCCAGTCTTCGCTCGGGCTCTCAGACGCCTCGTTGGCAAACATCAACACCGTCCCTTACGCGCTCGGCTTTGTGAGCGCGCCGCTCGCGGGGCGCGTGACCAAGGCCTTTGGCCCCGCAGCCGGCCTGCTGCTCGGCGGCGCCATCCAGGCCGCGCTGCAAGTTGCCATGTATGCGATCGCCACCGGAGCCGCGCCGACCGGAGCGATCGACCCGGGCACCGCGCTCGTGCTGTGCGCCTGCGTAGTGTACGTCGGCGGACAGCTCATCTCCTCGGCCGCCTTCTCGACGCCCGTGCTCCACTTCCGGCGCAAGCGCGGTCGCGTCGTCTCTCTTGTCAAGGCTTTCGTCGGCCTGTCGGGCGCCGTCGTCTCGCAGGCCCGACTCAACCTCCCTCCACCTCGGCCGTATTCGGCTCCACCTCCCCTCGGCTCCACCCCGGCCGTATCTCGGCCGTATCTCGGCCGCATTCTCGGTCCTTTCGCCCCTCAACCTCCCTCCTTGGGCAGGCGTACGTGGTCGCCTTCGGCGTGCCCTCCCGCGAGCCGGGCGCGCTGCGCTGCCTCCTGATCTGGGCGGCCATCAGCGCCGGCACCTGCTTCTTCGGCGCTGCATGCATTCCTCGCAGCCCAAGCCAGCAGTCGCGCGAGCCCGCGGCGCTGCTCCGGCTCTGCTTCTGGCTGCTCCTGCTGCTGTGCGGCGCGAGCATGGCCGCCTCCCTCGTGCCGCAGGCCGACCGACCCCTTCCCCGCTGCCTGCCTGCTCCTCCTCACCGCTGCTGCTGCCTCTCTCTCTCCCCTCACCGCTCCCTCTCTCCACTGCTCCACCCGCCCGCCGCCCTCCCCTCACCGCCGCCTCCCCTCCCCTCCCCTCACCCTCACCGCCGCCCTCCCCTCACCGCCGCCCTCCCCTCACCGCCGCCTCCCCTCCCCTCCCCTCACCCTCACCGCCGCCCTCCCCTCACCGCCGCCCTCCCCTCACCGCCGCCTCCCCTCCCCTCCCCTCACCCTCACCGCCGCCCTCCCCTCACCGCCGCCCTCCCTCGCCCCGCAGACCGGCTCGCCGCTACACACCGGCCTGGTCGGGCTGCTCGGCCTCCTCGCCCTCTCGCCCCTCCCGCTCGCCCTCGGCCCGCTCCTCCCCCTCCTCGCGCCATCTCGCTCCCGCGCCAGCCCCGGCGGGCGCGCCTTCCCGTCGCCGCGCCGCGCGCCGCTCCTCGCCGGCCCGGAGGCCGCGCTGCCTTGGCTCTCCCAGCCGCCGCCCGCGCCGCCGAGCGGCAGGGCGGGCGAGGCCAACGACGGCTCGCCGGGCGAGGAGGCGGCGGAGGAGGCGGCGAGGCGCGAGGCGGCGAGGCGCGAGGCGGCGGGCGGACCGGTGCGGCGCGCAGGGGCGGCGGGGGTGGAGCCGGAGCCCTTCCTCCTCACCGAGGCGCGCACGCAGCTCTCGCTGCCGCAGATGCTCCGCCGCCCAGACTCGTGGCTGCTGTGGCTCGCCGGATGCGCCGCCATCGGGGGAGGGAACTTCTTTGCGACCAACGTCGGCCAGCTGGTCCGCACCCCCCTCCCCCTACAAGAGCCCTGGCCCCCACGCTCAAACCGCTTCACCCCGGGGAGGGCCCCAAGCCGCTACACACCAGGCTCAAGCACCTCCCCCTTCTCTCGCCGGTAGGTCCGCGCGAGCGGCAGCCACCCCCAGCTGGTCGCGCAGCTCGTCACTCTCTTCTCGACGGGGAACATGCTCGGGCGGCTGGTCGGCTGCGACGCGTCGGACCGCCTCTTCGTGCGGCGCGGGCGCCTAGATGCGGAGGACAGACCTCCCCATATCTTCGAGACTAACCCGTGTCCTCCGATTGGCGCTCGAGAGGGCACGTAGACACGCATCCCGCTGTGGTGCGCTGCAGTCCGCTGTACTCGTAGCCCCTGTATTCACGCGATCCGCTGGATTGCACCGCACGAGGCCGTATTCACGCCCGACCTTCGCTCTGTCTTCACGACGTAGGCGCGGGCGGTCGCGGTGCGGCATCGTCGTCATGCTCTGCGTCGGGATGGCGGCCGCACACGGGCTGCTGCTGGCGGCGCAGCTTCCGGTGGCGCAGCTGCCGCACGCCGCGCGGGGGGAGGTGCTCCACGGTCCGCCATCGGCGCCGGCGCACACGCACACGCTGCTGCTCGCCGGGGCCCTCCTCGCGGGCGCGCGCTCTCTGGCGCCGCCGGCCAGCTCCACGGCCCACGTCTGGCTGACACGCCGCTTGCCGACCCATAGGCACTTCCTTCGGCACCATCTGGCCGCACCTCGTGGTGCTCGCGTCGGAGCTGTTTGGCTCGGACCACCTGCACACAAACTACCTCTTTTACGACGGCGGCTGCGGCGCCACCGGCACTCTGCTCCTCGCCAACCTGCTGCCGCGCCTCTTCCACCGCCGCGTCGCGGCCTCCTCCTCCGCCTCGTGCGACGCCTCGTGCTTCGTCAAGGCGCACGCCGCCATCGCCGCCATCGCGCTCGCCGGCGCCGTCGCCGCCGTCGTCCTCGCGCGCCGCTCCGCGCCCCTCTATACGCGCATCGGCCTCTCGCTCGAAAAGTCGCGGCAGAAGCGCCGCGGCATGACCAAGCGCGCCCAAAGCGCTTGGTCCTTGTCGCAGGCCATCGCCTCTGGCGCTGACCCCTTGCCCTCGGCATCGCCCTCGCCCTCGCCCTCGCCGTGACCCTTCCGTTTGCTCCTCCGCCCCATCCATGTTTGTGGCTGAGGGAGTGAACGAGAGTTCGGCTCTTCACCTGCACATCTCTCTGCGCCCCCCGCGCGTACGATTGTGCGCGCCTCGCGGCCGCTTGCCCCTTGCCCAGTCAGCAGCCTCTTTTAAGCAGACCGGCCGTCATATTCGATCGTCCACTCGCCATGTCATCAAACTTAAACAAAATATTTATGGAAGTTTCTCTCCTCACAAAGAGCGAGAAGGAAGAGAGAGAGTCAGCAGCAGATCCTAGCGAGGGAAACTACCTAGGTAAGTACGCGCACCACGCCCCCGCCCTCTCTACTCTCGCGCACGCCGCGCGGGAGAGCGCCGCTGCGCGCTGGAGAGCCGCCTGACAGAATCAAGGCGCGGAGCCGGGTTCCGGTGGAGAGACTGCGCGATATGTGTAGACAGGCAGCACGACGACTGGATGCCGCGACCTTTCAAGGGCCCGCCGCGCACCGCTCGTACGAGTAGCCGCCGGAACTGAAAATCTCAATGCCAAACTCGCACTGGTATTTGGCGCAAGGGCAGCAGCTTGGATTGAGGAAGCCGTCGTTGCAGCAGCCCGAGCAGCCTCCAGCTCGCTGGCAGCAGTCGCTCCCGTGGTTACCAGCGAAGTCGGGCGCGCTCGAATCGGTTGTGCACCAACTGGTCAGGCCCCCGTCAATGTCCGTGCAAGGTGGCGGCGGAGTCGCTGGCGGGAGCGTGGGGGGCGGTGGACGAGGGGGCTGCGGCGGAGGGGCGGGCGGATCCAGCGGGCCCGGAGGGGGGGGGGCGGGCGACGGCAAGCAGGTCACATATCCAAAGCCGTCGCTACCTGTGTCCTCAATACAGTTGTCGACGCTACCTGACCAGTCGCTGCAACTGCGCATGATGCACCTCCAAAGGCCCATCGGGTGGTCCGCGTCACCTGTATCGCCCGCAGGGCAGAGGCATCTGGCGCTCCCACAACAAAGCTTGTCATACTGGCCACGGCCGTTCAGTACGTAGGTCCCACCACATTGATGATTCCCGCCGTCAAAATTCGACTCGGCGTACTTGCAAGCGAGGCCCTCACCTCGAGTCGCCGGCGGAGGTATCGCGGGTGGCTGTGGCGGCGTGGGCGATGGGGACGGCGGCGGAGGCTGCGCCGGTGGGCTTGGTGGCGACGGCGGTGGCGGTGGCGACGGCGGCGGGGGCGGCGGCGATGGGCGCGGCGGCCACACGGGCCACGGGGGCGGTGTCGACGGCGGTGCGTGCGGCGGCTGCGGCGGAGACGGGTAAGACGAGCATGAGTACACCGTGAGCTCCTGCGCCTGGAACCTGCGGCTCGCTCCGGGCAGAATGAAGGTGACGTACTGCGCAGTCCCCACACAGTCGATTGTGAGGGAAGTTCCCGATGACGGAAAGTCGCCATGGTTGCAGCGGGAGCCAGAGGGCGTGGCCGTGTCACTGAGCCAGACCTCGTAAGGTCCTGTGACTGTGGCGTGGGTGCCAAAAGTCGAACTGGCATCGAATACGATGGAACCGATGTCGCTCGGCGCGCCGAGGTCGAGTTGAGCAAACGGGTCTGTCTCCGACAATTCCGAGGTCCACGAACCCGTGGCCCCTGGGCAACTTGATGCGTAGGCGGACGGACAGGAGGTACTCGTGACGCCGTTGATCAGGTTCGAAGGATAGAACGTGTAAAACGTGGAGCTCATGGTCGCGCCGACGCGGTCCAGCGCTGTCTGTGGGTTGTAGCTGCAGGCCGGCGGGAACGGCGGCCACTGTGGCGGGAGCGGCGGCGGCGGAGTGGGCGCCTGCGTCGGCGGGTACGGCGGCGGCGAGGGTGGCGGAGGCGCTGATGGTGGGCTCGGTGGCGGCGGCGGAGGCGGCAACGGAGGTGGCGGCGAGCTGGGTGGTGGCGTGCTGGGTGGCGAGGGTGGGCTGGGCGGAGGCGGTGGCGATGGCCACGGCGGCGGCGCGGTGCACCTCGACGAGTGTGCAGGTGCCGTCGACGTCGTAAACTCGCACGTGTACTTGGCGCACGGACAGCAGTCATCGTTTCGGTAGCCATGATTGCAGCAGCTCTGGCAGCCAGAGCGGTAGGTGCAACAGTCGGCTGTGTCGCACCAATTGTCTACGACATGTCCATTGGGGTTTTCTACCATCGGCAGGTCGGAGCAGGGCGGAAGAGGCGGCGGCGGCGGGCTCGGCAGCTCTGGCGGCGGAGACGGCGGGGCGGGCACGCATTGAACGCTCCCTTCTCCCTCTCCAGCAGAGGAGCATGGGTAATTAGACCACATGCATCTCCAAGAGTTGCCGCTGCCAATCTGGCACAGCTGACGATCCCATTTACGGTACACGCCCCAGTTGGGCGCGCCGGACGCCTGCCCGAAGGGGTCCCAGTGGTACACCCCGGCGCAAGCATTGTTCATGCCGGCATTCGCAAAGGTCACAAACTCACAGTGCGGCGCGACGGGCGGCGGTGACGGAGGGAAGGGCGGCGGCGGGCTTGGCGGCGGCAGAGGGTCGTAGAGCTGCACCTCGCGCAGGACGATCTGCCGCTTTGGCCCTGGCAGGCGCAGAACGAGGTAGCGGCCGGTGCCGACACAGGTAACTTCGAAGGGCCCCGGCTCGGCCGGCGCCGTGTATGTCGCGCACGGCGTCGGGTAGTTCCACCAGCCGTCGGATATGTCCGACAGGTACAGCTCAAAGGAGCCGAGATAGCCCATCACTTGTCCCGCCACCCGCGTCGGCCGGTTGGCGCCCGCGTTGTAGATAAGCACGCGCTCGATGTTTCGGCTGCGGCAGAGGTCTATCTGAAGCCATGGCTCACCCTCGGTCTGCGTCGCGCACAGGCTCGCGGCGAGGTGCGTATCATTGATGAATGGCTCGACGCTGGTGTGGGCGTCGTCGATGCAGTGGGCCGCGGGGAGCGGATGGCCCGCGTAGGTGCCCTCTGAGCTCATCGTGGCGCCGCAGCGCTTCACAAAACCAAACTCTGGAAGGAGCGGCGGATGTGGCGGAGGCGGTGGGGACGGCGGGGGCGCTGGCGGCGGCGGCGATGGGGACGGCGGCGGCGACGGCGGCGGCGGCGGCGGCGGAGAGGGAGGGGGAGGTGCTGACGGCGGGCTAAATGGCGGGAGGCTCGGTGGCACGCGGGGGGGGCTGGGCGGCGCCGGCGGTGGAGACGGAGGCGGTGGGAGGGGTGGGGGCGGGCGCAAGGGGCCAGGACTGGGCGGCGGGCTCGGCGGGGGCGGGTCGCGGCACCTCTCTCTCCAGCACACGTTGTTGCCGCACACCCTCTCCACACCATACGGGCAGCTCCAACAGGAGCAGGGGCAGGTGGAGAGATCCCTAGCGCGCCAACCGCCGGCGCAGCAGTCGCCGATATTGTTGCTGGTGCTGCAGCAGCTGTCGGTTGACGTGGCTCCCGAGGCCGTCGTACCCGACATAGTAGGGTTCCCCCAGTTCGTGGAGGGAGAGAACGGATTGTCGGGGGTGGCGCACCACGAATATGAAAACACGTTCATGCAACCGGGTGCGACGGTGTAATCCGGCGGTGGGGACGGTGGCACCTTCGGTGGGGCCGGCGGCGGGGCCGGCGGCGCCGGAGGCGGGGATGGCGGGCAAGGCGTGCACCTGGCGGCGCAGCCCGAAATGAAGTTGCCTCGTCCAGGCGCGTCGCACCGAACAGAAGCGCCGATGCACTCCCAGCTGTTCAGCCCGGCGGGACAGAGGCGGCGCTGCGAGGAGAGGTACTCGTACTCGGGCGTGAGGCGGTAGACCTCCTCCGTGCCGCAGGCGCCGTACGGGCCCGTGCAGTCGTACGTGACGCAGTCGCAAAGGGGAGGGCACTCCACCGGCAGCACCCTACCGCCGGCCAGATCGCCACCCACGGCACAGTTGTACCCGGAGTCGCGGCAACCGTAGTAAGCGTAGCCCACCTGGCGAGCGGAAAGGCGTCGCGTCGAGAGGAAGATGAGAGAGGGGTGCCTTCTGGCGGCGCGCACCCCGTAGAGGTTGTTGTTCGCTTGCGAGTGGCGGGAGCACAGCTTCTTGCCCGGGTTCCGCGCGCCCGGCCATGTCGCCAGGTTCGATGCGTAGGCGGCGCCTGCCGCGCTTGTTTGCTGGTAGGACACGCTGTCCCCCTTGTACTGGAAGATGTGGTTCCGCTTGCAGACATTGTACGCATCGGGCCCGTCTGGGTCGGCATACTTGACACACTGGGACGGCGCCCTCCCAGCGCCCGACACCTCCGTGCGAGGGTAGTAGACGAAGGGCACTACCGGCGGGGGTGACGGCGGGGGTGGAGGGTAGTGGCCGGAGATTGTGACTTCGCGCAGCACAATCTGGCGGTTCGGGCCGGGCAGCTTGATGATGACGTACCGCCCGACGGTGTTTCCGACGCCCGTGCACCTACGCGTAGGTGCCGGGCAGGTGTGGGCCGGTGCAGACGCCAAGCGCTGAGAGGGCGTGCGCAGCCGTCGCACTCGACATCAAACGGCCCCGCCTCGTTGGGGGCGTGGTAGCGGCCGCACCAGTGCCCGACCGTGCGGCTCGGGTCGGACGAGTACAAGGCCTCGGGCGCGGGCGTCGCACTCACGTACACCTCGAACGTCCCAAGACGTTCCATGTACTTATAGTCGGCAGGTTGAGCTCCCGCCACGTTGTAGACGACTACATGCGCGACGCTCACGTCCGGGCAAGAGGGCTCTGCGTGCGGGCAGCCACACCTGCAAAGAGGAGGGGGTGAGGCGGGGATAAGCGCAGGCGAGGAGCCGTGCAAGTGTAGCAGCGGGGCTTTCACATGTCGATCATTAGCCAGGGGTCGTCCTGGACCTGTGAGGCGCAGTAGCCATCCTTGGTCGTCTCGGTTGGCCAATAACGGATTCCGAACGTGCCCTACAGACCAGTCGTGTTGAGTCGGGGAAGGGTAAACTCGCCGAGCGCATCTGCGGCGCTTTGTCGCACCACGAGCCCTGCACCCGTCGTATCCACCACGCCATTGATGCAGTTTGTGGCGTAGAGAGGAATCCCGTCAGGTCCTGAGATCCCCCACGTGCCGACCTCGGTCGACGCGTGGCTCACCGTCGCGCCACACCGAGTGAGCTGAGTGTCCGCATAAGGGGATGCGGGCGGCGGCTTCGGTGCCTTGTTCGGGAAAAAGGGAGGCGGCGGCGGGACCGACGGCGGTGGCGGCACCGGCGCGGCGCCCGGAGGGTATGGCGGCGGCATTGGAGGCGGATCGGGTGATGGAGGCGGCGACGGGGGTGGCCCCGGCGGCAGCCTGGGAGGAGGCGACGGTGGCGACGGAGAGGGAGCCGCGCCGGGCGGGAAGGGCGGCGGCGGGAGGAAGGGGCAACACACGCACGCCTTTGGATAGTAAGGCGCCGGGTCGACAAAGGGCGGATTCGAAGCGTCGCACACGATGGACCCCTGCACGATGAACCAGTCCGTCCAGGCGGCCATCCCCGAGGTGTCGTGGGGCGTCCCCAGCCGCACCATCCCCGTGCAGGTGCAGATGTTCTCCGCGCTGCTCGACTCGGTTGCACATTCACTTTCCACGAGCGGCGCGGCGCAAGTGAATGGCGGCGGCGCCGGCGCCCTCCCAGGCGGATAGGGTGGCGGCGACGGCGGTGGAGTGGGCGCGTCGCCGGGCGGATAGGGTGGCGGCGACGGCGGCGGCGTGGGTGCCTTGCCTGGAGGGTGCGGCGCAGGGTCGAGGTAGTCCGGGAGGCCGTTACTGTCGCTGTCGGCCGTGCCCTCCTCGGCGTCGGGGATGCTGTCGCCGTCCGAGTCGGGGTCCGTCGAGTCGGGGAGGCCGTCGCTGTCGCTGTCTGCCGTGCCCTCCTCGGCGTCGGGGATGCTGTCGCTGTCCGAGTCGGGGTCCGTCGAGTCGGGGAGGCCGTCGCTGTCGCTGTCGGCCGTGCCCTCCTCGGCGTCGGGGATGCTGTCGCCGTCCGAGTCGGGGTCCGTGGAATCGGGGAGGCCGTCGCTGTCGCTGTCGGCCGTGCCCTCCTCGGCGTCGGGGATGCTGTCGCCGTCCGAGTCGGGGTCGATTCGGTCGGGGTTGCCGTCGCTGTCGCTGTCGGCCGTGCCCTCCTCGGCGTCGGGGATGTTGTCGCCGTCCGAGTCGGGGTCGGTCCAGTCGGGGAGGCCGTCGCTGTCGCTGTCGGCCGTGCCCTCCTCGGCGTCGGGGATGTTGTCGCCGTCCGAGTCGGGCGTGTGAGGTGGCGGCCTGGGCGCCTTATCAGGCGGGTAGGGCGGGTAGGGCGGCGGAGAGGGCGGCGACGGAGGCGCGCACGGCGGGAACGACTCGGAGAGGCGCCGTGCAGGCGATGCGTGGCGCGCCTCCACTTCGCCCGAGATGGAGGCAGAGACGTCGTCGGAGCTGGCGCCGGTAGGGAGTGCCGCCTCGGCGCCGTCAAAGCGCGAGAAGGCAAACTTCGTCGCGTGCGGGGCCGCCACCTCGTACATGGCAGCCTCACCCTCGATAGCGCCTTCCGCCATCGCCGATGTCCGAAAGGTGCCCGAATCTGGGTACTCATCGACGCGGCCCTGGCGCGGCTCGGCCGACGCAAAAGACTGCCCGATGATCCCATGCGGGAGGTGCCGCGCCGCAACGCCGCCCCGGGCGCGGAGCGAGACGTCGAGGCGGTGGGCCGGGCCGGAGATGCGGTTGTACACCCAGTTTCCGCGCACGACGGCGGTCCAACCGCCAGTGGTGAACTCGGCGCTCGAGAAGCGGACGGCGATGAGCATCTCCTCGCACCGCTTGGAGGCGCCGGTGCCGAGGAAGAAGGGGCCACCGCCGCAGGAGCCGTTGATCATGTTGAAGCCCGTGTTGTACTCGCTACGGGACAGATCATGGACGCGTCAGGAGACACGCGTTGCAGCCGGCCCTCTGGCACATCTCGCACTTGAACTCGCTCGCCCAGAAGGAGGCGAGGCAGAGCTTGTTCTTCCGTCCGCCGACTCGGGCCGCAAAATGGATCTACAACCGGGGAAGGAAAGGGCGGGCTGGGAACGGTTTCGGTGGTTTGTGGGATCACAGCAGGCCAGGCACGCCTCGGTGATGAACGACCCTTCCACGACCAGAGTGCCACCCTTGTCGTAGAGGTTGTGCAGCCGGAAGGTGGCGTCCTCTGTCCTAACGTTGATGGCCAGGCGCGGCGCCGAGAGGAAGCAGTAGTACCTGCCATCGCGCCCGCGGAAGTCGGCGCGGCCGCCATGAGCAAGGTGGAGGTGCGGGTCCTTCTCCACGTTGGCTTGCAAGCATGGATCTGGCCCCGCAAAGCCTCTGAAGTCTAAGCCATACAGTTGTTCGACGCAGATCGTGGTGAGGGCTCGTCCATGTCCTTGGTTGAGGCCACGCCGGTGTGGGTGGTTGTGGCAGCAGGGCAGCTCTGGTTTGCCCTCGCAGAGGTCGCAAATCAAGTCGCGCGCCCGTCCTGACAGAGCTTGCGCGTAGTCACGAAGTCCAAGCGGCACTGCGTGTGTAGACATGTCGACGTCGCTGAGGCAAGTCTCTGGGCAGAGCGCCTGCACGTCCTTGATCACGTCGCGCAAGTCCACAACGTTGGTTGTGTGTTTGTGATCTTCCTTGCAGAGCCCAAACCCGTGGGCCTGCTCGCATGTGGGCTGAAAACCGGCCGGATCGGAGCACGGATCCAGCGGCGGGGGCGATGGGGGGGGCGGCGAAGACAGAGGGGGGTGCGGCATCAGCTGTGAGCCAGCGGACGAGGAGGCAGCAGACGAGGAGGAGGAGGAGGAGGAGGAGGAGGAGGAGGCGGAGGAGGCGGAGGAGGCGGCGGCGGAGGAGGAGGAGGAAGAGGAGGAGGCGGAGGAGGCGGAGGAGGAGGAGGAGGAGGAGGAGGCGGAGGAGGCGGCGGCGGCGGCGGAGGAGGAGGAGGAAGAGGAGGAAGAGGAGGAGGAGGAGGAGGAGGAGGAGGAGGAGGAGGAGGCGGCGGCGGCGGCGTTTGAGAGTCCGGCGAGCAGCGCGATAACGAAAGTAGCCATCGATCCCGCCGCCGACTCCGGCCTCTGGGTCGGTGGTCCGTCCGGTAAGGAATCCCCATCCAAACGTTTCAATTTGTTTTCAATTAGCGGACGGACGGACCACCCCAAAGTTATGATGATAACATCTGGTCCATTAACACACAGGTTTTCCTTCTCTCTCTCTCTCTCTCTGTATCTCTCTCTCTCTCTCTCTTTCTCTCTCTCTCTCTCTCTCTCTCTCTCTCTCTCTCTCTCTCTCTCTCCATGTATCACGACTCGAGTACTCGAGTACCGTGTTGCGTGTACCGACATACCTACCCAGAGGCGGGCGGACTGCTGACGGGGGTTGCTAAGCGCGGTGATGGGTGGATGGAGGCTCAGGACGGCGGAACTGGACATCAGGCCTTCGCTAGACTATTGAGCGTTAGCGAGGCGGTCCAGGACGACCAGAGGTGTCGATCGAAGCTACTGGAGCCGGCGAAAAAAGAAAAACGCGGTTCTCTCTGGCTCCGACGGCCCAAACCACGCGGCGCAACCACCGGAGGTTAGTGCCCGCCACCACAAGCTCCTGCTGAACTGGCTCCGACGGCCCAAACCACGCGGCGGACTCGGTGGTGAGTTCGCGCCGACTTCCCTTCTGGGCCATGCTCCTGGCATTCGTCAAGGACAAGTGGCCCATACTCGCCGTCTGCCTCATCTTTGGCGGCCGCCAGTACAGCAAGCACATGACCGGCGTCGCCGTGCGGTCCGTTACGCCGGCGCAGGAGTTGGTGACGCTGAAGAAGCATGCGATGAGCGAGCACCAGCTGAGCAGCCTCAGGAGCCACCTCGAGGCCGCGCTGCCGTCGCTGGAGGGGCAATACCTCGGCCGGGGCTTCGCCAACACCCGCGGATTTGTGTTGAAATTCAACACGCAAGGCGCCGCGAAGCTCCGCGACCCTGACTTTATGAACGGCACGTACTCCTTCCTCTCGCCGTTCTTCGAGACTTTCCGCGACCCCGCGGCCAACGCCTTTGTCCTCAACGCGCTCGTCGTCCCTGCGGGCGGCAGTGCCGACGAGGCCCGCGACCCTGCGGTGGGCCTCCACGTGGACAACACTGTCGGGATCGACTCGGCGCGGCCCCGCCTCGCAGCGCCCAGGGGAACCCCAGGCGCTGGCCTCTGACACGCCGCTCCCCCCAAAGGTACGCCTCTTCCTCGCGCACTCCGTCTCTGTCCTCTACGTCACGGTGCCGGACGGGATGGAGGGCGGCCAACTCAAGCTCTGGTCGTACTCCAACAAGCCCGAGTCGGCGGCAGAGCTTGCCGCCCCGGAGGGGAGCGTCTCTCCCGAGGAGGGCATGCTGGCCGTCTTCCGAGGCGACTCGTACCACCTCGTCGACAGCTGGCGGCTGCGCGAAGGCGGCGGCGGGGGCGGCGGCGAGGGCGGCGGCGGGAGCGGGCACGGCGGCGGCGGCGGCGGGGGCGAGCGCTCGAGGCTGAGCTTGGTGCTCGAGGCGTACCAGCTGGACGAGAGCTTCTACAGCGCGACAACAGAGTTTGAAGTGAACCGCAACCACGACCACCGCGTCTACGCGACCGAGGTGCGGCCGCTGCTGCTGCAGTTCAACGACCTGACCAAGTGGTGCCTCCGCGCGCTTCTTGGCATGACTTGCTGGCTCAGTGTGGAAGCATGGACGAAGCGCGGGCGGAAGCCGGAGACGGCCAAGAGCGAGACGCTCGAGCAGAAGCAGGCGCGCATCCTGCGCGAGCGTGGCGAGCGAGGTGGTTCGGCGCCAGGCAAGGCGAAGGGCGCGGCGCAGCCTGGCGCCACAAGGGTGGGCAGCAGCGCGAAGAAGCGCCGCTGACGAGCGATTATCTGGACAGCGGGGTCGACAAGGGCCGCCGGCCGCGCGCAGCTAGAGTCGGGGCAAGGAGGCGGCGCACAGCGGCGCTCCTAGCCTCGGCTCTCGCGCACTGGCAATGCTGCGGATGCGCGTAAAGTTACACATGGACATGGCTTGCTTGGGATGTCTGATCCATCGCTAGTTTCCTGACGCAACTGGGTCGTTGTATGTGAAATGTGTATAGCCTCCCCTCTCTCGCTGCATGTGGATATGTGCATACGTTAGCGAGCCGCAGTGCCTGGTACAAGTAGAGGTAGGTAGAGTCTAGAGAGTAAATAACGTGTCAGCACGATGAGAAACCACGCTGCCGCTCCAGGTTGTCGCCTCTATTTCCAGGAAGGTCCGCCTGCGTGCACCGCCAGCTTCTCAGGGCCATCGCGCGAAAAACGACGGAGGAGATGCATCCTAGCTGTCGCCACCGAAGGCGACTCGACGTCGCTGAGATCGGAGATCAACCTCTGACCGGTCGCACGTCGCTCCTTTGACCCCGACGTGATTTACCCGTGCAGATCACATCAGGACACGGTCTCGACGCGCTCGGTACGACGCCTGCGACCCGTCTCGGGTCAGGTGGCACGACGCTCATCGCGCCTGCCAGCGCTGCCGTGCAGGCTGCCACGACGAGGTCGAGCACGCTTCTATACGCTCGCCGAGCCTTCCTTTCCATCCCATTAGGCAGCCTGGGAACGGTGGCGGTCAGAGGCAAAGCCTGCGAGGGGTGGTGGAACCACATGTCACGGCCACCGCCGGCTCGACGCAACGATAGCCTCCGGAGGCTGACTTTGAGGCACCATCATCGGACGATGTCGGCGAGTTGGGTCGCTCTCGCGGTAGCCAGGTAGCCCCCCATACTAGTAGCACCAGCCATGGCCTCAGGGAGCGCGGGCGAGGGCGCTGGGAGCAACACGGACAAAAAAACATCAAAAGTGGTCATTATGACAGCACCCGTAATTGCAACTAGTCATCAAATAGACAATACGATTTTGCACGACCTCTTTGAAAACGGCGAAACGGGGCCATGTCCGACTCCGAGGCTTCCATGCCGGGCCTGGAGCCGTTCCACGTGCGTCAGATCCGGATGGTCGAGCGCGTCCTCGGCCAGAAGGTGTCGCCACGCGACCACGCGATGATTGATTGTCTCGCGGAGCGCATGGAGAGGTACGGTTGGCACTCCGTCAGCATCAACCCGGTGCCGCTTGGGTATCAGTACATCATCCAGGCCAAGTCTGAGAAGAGGCGGGAGGATGAGGCCAGGCAGCGGGCCGCGCAGGACGCTGCGCAGCCTCAGCCTACCGCCACTTTCGCCGCACCGCCCGTGGCACCGCCTGCCGCCGCTGCCGCTCCGGCCGCAGCATCGCAGGCACACTCGCAGCACCAACAGGCGCAGCAACCCCGGCCCAACGAGTCGCCCGAGGGGTGGACGAGGGTCGGGAAGGGCGGCAAGCCGGACAGGTTCACCATGAAGAACTTCGGCCGCAACCCGCCAAAGTCGGGCAAGCGGAAGCAGGAACACCGCAAGCCCGCACCCAAGGGAGGTGGACCCCCACCCCCTTCTCCCAAGGTGGTGGACAAGAACAGGCTGAGCGCATTGGGCGCTGGCCCTTCTGGCACCAGCGGGAGCCACGAGCGCGCACCGCCGCGCTCTCCCTCCCCCACCTCGCCGCCTGCCAAATCGCCGCGGCCGTCTGCGCCTGCTTCCGGGTATGACTCCGAGCTCGAATTTTCCGACGCTGAGGCGCGGGATAGGGTGGCAGGGGTTGTGCACGACGCAGTGCAGCAGGCTGTGATGCAATATGGCTATGACGACGAGCTCTACCAGGCATGGAGGGACGGCAAGATAGGCGAAAAGGACTTGCCGGAGGAGGTGATGGCTATGACTTTGGACGTTTGCGAGAGGTGGCGAGCGGAGCAAGAGCGGTGTAGGCGCGCCCACGCGGCCCAGCGGCTCTCCCGCGACCCCGGCCCCTCTCATAGCCGCAGCCGTAGCCGCAGCCCCAACTCTTGCCGCTCTTCTAGTGTCGGGTAGTGACCAGGGGGGGTGAGGGGACGGATTGAAGATCCCTCACAGTCACCAAGATCGTGCAGGGCGGGGACACATGTCCCTAAATCCCATCTCGTCTCAGAGTTTGACCGTTTTTATTTATTTATTTATTTACAATACGATTTTTATCCGAATGTGCGCGGCGGGGTGTGCCGGGTGATCAGAGCGGGAAGAGGCCGCGCTCGGGCTCCTCAATGTTGGTCAGCACCGCGCCGGGCGGCTGCTCGGTGTACCAGAGTGAGGGCTCGTCCGCGATCCGGCGGCAAAACATCTCCTCGAAGACCTCGACGTCGTACTTTGCCTGCAGCTCGTCCACCCACGTCTCCTGCACCTGCGGGGACGCGCCACGCGGACACCAGCTGTGGTATGCTGCGCCTCCCTGCAGCTGTGGCATGCTGTGCTCTGCTACCTTACCATACATGGCTCTCATGTCCGTGTCCGTGTGTGTGCCTCGAGCCCACTTCCGACTGCTGTTGTATTCTATGCGTGGCTCCACCCTCACGGACGGCGCCCGAGAGATGGCGAGGGCGACCCCCCCCCCCCCCCCTTTGCGCACCTCCTCGAGAGGCATGCCGATGGCGAAGCAGGTGGTGCCGGAGCCGGACATCATCACCGCCTGGAAGCCAAACTTGCGGAGGTCGTCGCACATCTGCCTCAGCTCGGGCATCAGCTCAAAGGCGGGTGGCTCCCGGTCGTTGACGTACAGATCTGGATTGTACACGTCACCCCCCTGGGGGGAGGACGCGCGGCGAACCCTCAGGCTAGGCGGCGGCGGCGGCGGCGGCGGCGGCGGCGGCGGCGCCCCTCGAAACGCGAGAGGAGGTCTGCGGGGTCTGCACCCGCGGGACCGGCCTCGCCGGGCTCGAGGCCGAGCGCCTAGCGGCGGCGGCGGCGGCAGCAGTGAGCGAGTGTGAAGGTGGCCCGGCCTCCGCCAAGCTGCACTCTCGAGGCGAGGGCCGCGGCGGGGGACGCAAGGCGCAGAGAGCCGGGCGGCGAGTGCTACGAGCCGTGCGAGTGGCGCCTTGAAGACGGAGGGTGTGGATAGGCCGGCCGCGGGCTTGATGAGGTAGCACGCCTGCCGCTCCAGGTCCGGGCAGAGGGTCAGCGCCACCGCGGCCGCCCCAGAGGGGGCGGGAGAGGGTGAGGGGGCAGAGGGCGCGAGAGACACACCGTCGGCGGCAGCGGTCTGCGCGGGTCGACGAGCTCGCCGCGGCCGGTGCAGTAGGCGGTGCCAGCGGAGAGGAAGAAGCCGCAGTCGGAGCCGAGCTCGCCCGCCCACTCAATCAGCGTCTCCTGCGAGACTGGCAGGCCCGCGAGCCGGTTGGCCGCGTGCAGAGCGGTCGCCGCGTCCGAAGAGCCGCCGCCGAGGCCGCCCTGCGCGGGTATGCGCTTGTGCAGCCGGCAGTGGATGGCGGGCGACGACGGCACTCGCTCCGCGTAGAGGCTGAGCGCGCGCACGACCAGGTTGCTCTCGTCCGTCGGGATCAGCTCAGCGCCGAGCGAGTCAGGCGTCACCTCGAGCGACGCGAGCGGCGCGCCCTCCTCGCGCGGCGAGGTCCAAAAGTCGAGGTCGTCGAAGAGCGAGACGGTCTGAAACAGCGATGCCAGTTCGTGGAATCCGTCCGGCCGCTTGCCCACCACGCGCAGGAAGAGGTTCACCTTTGCGGGTGCGACGAGGCGCAGGTCGGGTGCGGGCGCAGCGTCCTCCACCTCACCCACTGCGCTCAGCGCGGAGGCGTCGAGCGAAAGGCGCACGCCAGGTGCGCGCAAGTATCTCGGCGTCGCAGCTGGGAGCCGCGACAGCGCCGACGGTGGCGCCAGCGAGACGAGGAGCGACCACCCCCACATGGTAATCTAAAAAGAATTTTCACCCCGCCAGACTCCCGCGCGAGTCCCATCCCTCGTTTGGCGTGTCTGTTTTCTTTCTTTCTTTCTTTTACTCCCGCGCGAACCCTCACTGGGGGGGGCTGTTTTCTTTCTTTCTTTACTCCCGCGCGAAAAGAATTTTCGGAGTTTCGCACGCTGATGCAAAACACAACCGCGGACCCAAGACGCACAAGACAGACAGTCGAGAAGGGAGAGATGACAGCAAAACTCTTTCACACGACACCAAAGAACAAACATCTCTCTCTCTCTCCCAAAGAACAACTCTCTCTCTCTCCATGCCTGATTCTAACGAGACACAGAGCAGCGGCACGGGCGTTGCCGATCGAACACGGATTGCTGAGGGTCATGCACAATTCGTGCGGTTATGGGCTGCAAAACATGCAAACGACAGGCCACGCCACGTGCGCCACCATATCCAGCTGCGCAGCGGCAACGACTGCCGAGGCGCAGGCCGAGCCGCAGCCTACCGATGCCCCGCCGACATGCGGCATTGGCCAAAATGGTATGCTGGGCATCTCAGGTTGAGGAAGGCAACTTGAAATAGCAAGGAGCATCCTAGAATGCAAAGGGGTAACTCCAGATGCTAGCGCATTCACGAATGCAGTTCGCATTCCAGGATGGTCGACGCATCCTGGAATGCGTGGACCATCTTTGGAATGCGGTGTGCATCTTGAAATGCGAAAAGTCAACTCGGCATTCTGAGTTGAAAAATGCAATCTGAATTGATTTTTTGCAACTCAAAATGCCCTCAGCATCTCAAATTGCGGGTTCCCCGCCCCTGACGAACGCGGTATATGCGGGGTGGAAGCAGGAAGGAGACGCGAGATAGAAGACGACGACAAGCGCAAGCGACACACAGTGTCGTGCGACAAAAAAATCTAACTGAAATTTCTAAGACTAGAGCTATAAAAAAAACATTGGCTCGCGGGGGTCATATTAGTCTGGACCCCTCATTCGACCCCCTGGACTCCCCTGACAGCGGCCCTGAAGGACGAACGGATGGGAGCCTCGTGGAGAACCACTTCCGCATTGGCACGCCGGGAGATGGCAATGACTGCGCGAAAGACAAGACCCTGCGCGCAGTTCGACGCAGCGGCGACGGCTCTTCGATCGAGTAGTCGAAGCGATTGCTGCTCGTGTCATCTATCAAAGATTGCACGGCCTGCGCGGGGAGCATTGTGGTTGGTGTTGGTGTTGGTGTTGGACTAGGATTTCAGTCTAGGGAATGACACCGCGACAGCATGGGGCACGGCGCACGGACCTCATCAAACGGAGCAGTATCGCCGTAAGCCGCGTCGACCGCCGCCAGCAAGCGGTCACGGTCGCTGTCGAGCAGGCAGCGCGCCTCCTGGACCCGGAATGCCTTCGTGACATCGCTCGGACGCCGTGCGGTGCTGAGCGCGACGTCGGGGCTCTCAGTCAGTAGGCGCGACACCGTGACTGCTCTAATAACCTTGCCGATGGCTTGCATCAGCTGCTTGTGCGCTCCGGCCAAATTTTTCGATGGATCCATGCGGCGTGCAAGCAAACCACTGCCTGGTGGCGAGCTCAAGGAGCTGTGCTTGCTGCCTGGTGGCGAGCTCAAGGAGCCGTGCCTGCTGCCTGGTGGCGAGCTCAAGGAGCCGTGCCTGCTGCCTGGTGGCGAGCTCAAGGAGCCGTGCCTGCTGCCTGGTGGCGAGCTCAAGGAGCCGTGCTCGCCGATATTGGTTTCCAAGGGGAACGGTTGCTTCTGCCGCACTTTGGCCGGGGCAGCCCCTTGCACTGCGTAAAGCAAGCTTTTTTCGCCAGACTCTGTCTCGTCATAGACGTAGACAAAGCCTCCGGCATCGAGGGGGTGGGCGGTGCCGCCCGCGAGCAAATGCTCGTCGCCTGGCAGCAGCTCGCTCGGGTTGACCCAGGCAAAACGGACGAAGCCAGAGCCTAGACCTCCGCGGTCCGTGTGTCGCGTTCCTCCCTCCAAACACGGTCCGTGTCTGAGAGAGAGATTTTTACAATACCTTCGCCGCCCCTCGCCTCCACCGCCCCCCTACTCCACCGCTCGCCCTCCCCCCCCGCCCTACCGAACCACCCACCGCGCCCGCCCATGCCAACTTCCGCCCCGTCCCGCTTGCCGGCCCATCCCGCCCTCCGCCCGCGCCCCCCTATCCCCGCCCTGGCTGCCTGGCCCGGCCCGCATCTCTTCAACATCACGCGCCAAGTGGGAGGGAAGTGGACGGGGCCCTGAGCCGACCTAGCCGCCAAACGGAACATGGGGCGCCCAACACGTGCCGGATTACTGTGCCTTCTGTGCCTTCCCCGGGCACAGCCTTTCGGTTCGTGAAGGGTCGGTGCGTGTCGTGACCCCCTGGAACACCCGTACCCCCGCACCATCTCTGCCTCTCGGTTGCTCAACCTTGCCACCACCGGGAGGCGGCCAGGGCTCATAGTTACATAGACTCGGTCGAGAGACGCCAGATTGGCACCTGTGCCTTTCTGGACAGGGTGGCCCGCCACAACGACCCCTGGATTGCGACTCGCCGCTTTCCTCCCGCTGTGATTTGTGTGAGCTCTGTGCCTTGCTCTGCTAACAACGAACCTAAAAACCTAAAAGAGAGGTTACAGGTGGGGTAAGATCCGTTAGCGCGAGATCGGCGGGAGCTCAATACCAAACAACTCTAACTGTGTTCGTGTCGCTCTAATTGTGTTCGTGTCTGGGGCCCCGTGTAAAAAGTAGAAAGAAAGAACAGAGACCAACGAAGGGAGGATGGGAGAGCACGCAGGAACGGAAAGGAAATAAAACAGACAACCCAAACGAGGGATGGGAGGAGGACAGGCGACAGCCCCCCCCCACCCCCACCCCCCCTCCTCCCCCGCCCCCCACCCACCTGCACAGCCAGGATTTTGGATGGAAGAGCACGCCCCAGGAAATTCTTTTCGAGGCGGCTCCCGTTGGTGTACCTGTGTTAGTGCCAGTGCGCGCCAGTCCCGTACGTAGGTAGGCAGGTATCCCGTGCAAGAAAAAAAACAGACAAGCTCCAAGTGCTCCAGGGGAGGGACTAGGGGAGGGATGGAGCAGGCGCACATCGCTTCCAGGGAGGGGGGCGCCAACTTCTGCTCACACCACATGCTAGGGGGGGGTCCGAAGAGGCTTCACCACATGCTAGGGGGGGGTCCCGACCCCCCCCAGCGCCTTCACCACATGCTGGGGAGGGGGTCATGGCCGAGGACCCCCCAGAGTGCAGAGACTCGTGGTCAGACCCTCCGGGCCCTTGATTTTACGCCTCATTTCGCAGCCGATTCATCGCGGTTTTTGGGTTTTGGCAGGCTCGATTGGGCGACGCCCGACGGAGCCGAACCCACACAGGGATTTTAAGGAGAGGAGTGTGGTGCTAGCCGTCGCCCACCCTTGGCGCTTGGGCGTCTGCCTCGTTCCTATCTCGCTTCGCAGTCCCTCGCCGATTCTGCAACCTTTCATGCCACCTCGCGATCGTCCCACTCTCGTCGTTCTCTCTCCTGGATACCCATCACTGAGCCGACAATGCTACGGGTAGCCCCAGGGTGGCGCCCACCCCCATGCCCTCGGGCACTTGCCTGCGCCCTCGCGCACTAGCCCACGCCCTGCCCCGCAAGATCTCACTCCATCCCGGCCTGTGGCATACCTCGGCACCCCCTTGCACGGAATCTGAGCGTGAGGGAATCTGAGTGTGAGGGAATCTGAGCGTGAGGGAACCTGGGCAGTGCCGCGTAGTGCGGCGTGCGCGCACGTGCGCGGACGTGCGCGGACGTGCGCGGGCGTGCGCGGGCGTGCGCGGGCGTGCGCGGGCGTGCGCGGGGCGTGCGCGACGTGCGCGCACGTGCGCGCACGTGCGCGGGCGTAGTGCCGCGTGCGCGCACGTGCGCGGGCGTGCGCGCGCGTGCGCGGCGTGCGCGGGCGTGCGCGCGCGTGCGCGGCGTGCGCGGCCAGGGCGCAGGCAAGTGCCTGAGGGTATGGGGGTGGGCGCCACCCTGGGGCTACCCATAGCATCGTCGGCTCAGTGATGGGTATCCCCTGTCGCTTCCTCCTCTGTCGCGTCGCTCTAAAAGAAAGAAAGAAAGCAGACCGACCAAATTAGAAAACAGACATACCAAGGGAGGGATGGGAGGACGGCACGCCGCCACCACACAGGGATTTTAAGGAGAGGTGTGTGATGCGCTAGTCGCGTCGCTCTCCTCACACGGAAGGGAAATTCTTTTGCGTGGTCCTCCCGTTCTCCCTCCTACTGGTTGCGCTCTCCTAGTTCTCCTGCTCCTGACAAGGCTTCATCCTCTGTGAGTCTATCGGTAAGCGCGGGTTAGCGCGGGTTCCACACGGGTTAAGCCACACTAACCCAGCGGGGGTCAGCACGGGTTGGAACGGGTTACCATAACCCGAGGGTAACCCGGCACTAACCCGGCACTAACCCGGCACTAACCCGGCACTAACCCATCCTAACGTATGCCCCCGAGCAGCGCGGGTTAGCGCCGGGTTAGTCTCGGGTTAGTGCCGGGTTAGTGCCGGGTTAGTGCCGGGTTAGATGCCGGGTAAGCGTCGGGTTATGGTAACCCGTTCTAACCCGTGCTGACCCGTGCTGGGTTAGTGTGGATTAACCCGTGTGGAACCCGCGCTAACCCGCGCTTACCGATACGCGATAGACTCACTCCTTACACGCTCAACTTACCGATAACGGCGTTGCCGCGGAGAGCACCAAGGGGCAGCTGCAGCCAAGCCGTCCGAGGGAGAGACTAACCCGGGTTAGCGCCGGGTCAGTCTCGGGTTACCATAACCCATGCTGACGTATGCCCCCCAGCCGCATGGGTTAGTGCTGGGTTAGTGCCGGGTTAGTGCCGGGTTAGTGCCGGGTTAGTGCCGGGTTATGGTAACCCATTCTGACCCGTGCTGACCCGTGCCGGGTTAGTGAGCACTAACCCGCGCTAACCCGCGCTTACCGATAGACTCACTCCTCTGTCGCGTCGCGAAGGGAAATTCTTTTGCGTGGACCCTCCGTCGTCCCTCTCGCCTCCCTCTGCGCCTCGCGCAAGAGTTGACCGCGTCGCTGTCCCAGAGAGCGCTCGTCCCGCATCAATGGCCGACGGCGACGAGCCCCCACAGCGTGTCGAGATTGAGGCTGGCGGCGACACGTCGGCCGCCACCTTCACCCTGCACAATGAGGACCACACGATCGGTGCCCGCCACCCTTCGCCTGAGCCTCGGATGCCAATTTCACCAGCCACGGCCGCAAGCGCTCGCCCATCGCACCCCATGAGCCTCCCTCACGCGTCGGCAGGCAACTCGCTCCGCTACGTCCTCAACAAGGACCCGCAGGTCTCGTTCGTTGGCTACTCGGTCCCGCACCCCTCCGAGCCGAAGATGAACCTGCGCATCCAGACTGTCGGACCATCCGCGACAACCGTGCTGCACGGCGCCCTCGGTGCGGCCCCTCCCACCACCAAGTGCTGCCCCCCTTCTCCTGATCCCATCCAGCCTTACCGAGTTGACTGCGGTGCAGGCACCCTCTACGAGATTACAGCGCACACAAAGGAGACCTTTGAGCGCGCCCTCGAAGACTTCAAGGCGAAGCAAGAGAGATAGCGCAGAACCGCGCAGAAATATAGAAATTGTGTGTGAGAGTGTCGGTGGTCGGCGCGCGGTGCCTCTCCCTCTCCCGCCAACCCTCTCCCCCACCCCTCCCAGCTACTCGCTAACGCTAGAAGAGGAGAGTTGGCTTCTAAAAATCTCTAACGCTATGCTTGGAGGTGTGGCGTGTGGGGTGGTGGGAGCGGAGCTATACCTGAGAGAGAGACCTGTGTGCGCGTGGTTGAGGAGGCGGCGAAAAGAGATATGGAAAGAAAACACGCACCGGAATATAAGAGACAACCGCTCCCCTCAGCCTGGCATCAGTCAACTGTCAACGTCTCATACACCCGCTCGTGCGTTTCTCGCGTCCTCGTTGTCCTTCCGATGGCGCGCCCCAGCTCTTCACAACGCACGTGGTTGTCCTTCTTCGGCTGTCTTCGGCTGTCGATGGCCCGGCGCCTCGCGAGAACCAGCTCTCGCCTCGCCCGGTCACTCAGCACCGCGCTCGCTGAAGAGGCTTCTTCCGCCCTGGTCACTCTCCATGACAGGACTGTCGCCATCGGCACGCCGCCGCGCACGCTTGTGGACCGTCTCAGCCTCACCCTGCGCGAGGGAGACCGTCTGGCCATCCTCGGCGAGAACGGGAGCGGCAAGACGGTGACAGCCCAGCTGCTCGGCCGCGCCATCGGCGGGAGCGCCGACGGCGTCGAGCTGACGCCCTCTTCAGCGGTCGCCTCCTCAGCTGGCGTCGGGCGTGAGGGCAGGGCCGTCGTCCACGTCTCGTTCGAGTCTCACCGAAGGCTGCTCCAGTCGGAGGTGAGGGAGTACCGCGAGAGCCGCTTCGACGTGACGCACCGCCGCGCCACGCTCGCCTCCTACCTCTTCCCAGAGCTGAGGCCGGACTTGCCGCATCCGAACGGGTGACGCAGACGGCTCACGGCCGCCACCTCTCCGACGGACCTGGCGACGCGTCCCCGCACGCGAGGTAGGTTTGCGGGGTACACTCCCAAGGAGGCGAGACTCGCGCCGCTCCCGGTCCCGTACGACGCGGACGCACACCACCCCGGCCTTGCCGCACTCGAGTCGGCCGTCACGCGAGGCGAGGCGTGCGAGCCTAGTGTAGGACAGCAGACGCGGAGCAGGCGCACAGCCCTCGCACATGCAGCGCGCGAGAAGACGCGCACCCGGGTGTATTCGGCGCAGCCTTTGCTCTTCGCGCGAGGCGCAGGCATGGTGTGCCGGAGCATACCACCCCGGAGGGGAGTGCGGAGGGGAGTGCCTCCTAGGCGGGCGAGCTCCTCCGGCAGTTCGGGCTCTACGAGCTGCGCCACCGGCCTCTCTTCGCCATGTCGACGGGCGAGGCGCGAAAGACGATGGTTGTCGACTGCCTGCTCTCGCCGCCGCAGCTGCTCGTCCTCGACGAGGCCTTCGACGAGATCTAGCCGAGATCTCGCCGAGATAATCCGAGATATACCTGCCGCAGCTGCTCGTCCTCGACGAGGCCTTCGGCGGCCTCGAAGGTGATGCTTCGGCTGTATCTCGGTTGTATCTGGGCTACATCTCGGTTGTATCTCGGCTGTATCTCGGCTACATTTCGGCCACATCTCGGCTACATCTCGGCCATAGGCCTTCGACGGCCTTGACAGCCAGTCGCGCGACGATTTGCGAGAGGTGCTGCCTCGATCTCGGCCATCATCTCGGCCATCATCTCGGCGGATCTCGGCGGATCTCGGCGGATCTCGGCTCCCCATCTCGGCGGACCTCGGCGGTTCTCCGCACCAGGTGCTGCTGCGTACCCTCGATGCCGACGGCGGACGCCGCACCGGTGCGCTCGCGCTGATCGCGCACCACCCGGACGACCTCGTCCCTCCTCCGACGCACGCGCTGCTGCTCGGCCAGGGCGAGGGAGAGGGCGCGTAGATGCGGAAGGCGACATGCCTCTCGCAGCCGCGAGCGTGCCGGCCGCCCATCTCCCGCCCGCAAGCCGCGGCCCGTGTCTCCCGCGACGGCATGAGGGGTGCCATGAGTCCACTGCACCGCCCCTCTCCCACACCCTCGCGCGTGCCCCACCCTGCAGGGCGCACCGGCTTCCTCGGCGGCGAGTGGCGGGAGATGGCCGCCACCGTCGGCGCCTACTTCGACTCGCAGCGCCTTGCGTCGAGCGCGCGGCCGCCGCGGCCGAGGCTTCGGCGCGGGGCCGTGGCGGCGGAGGCGGCGGCGGAGGCGGCGGCGGCGACGATTGTCGATTTTCGTGAGGTGACTGTGCAGTACGCGACAAACAAGGCGCCGCCTGACTTGGGTCTGGACGAGTCCGTGATCTCGGCTGTCGGCTGAGTCCGAGGCGGGTTTGCTCGCAGGTCTTCGACCGGCTGTGCTGGAGGGTGCGTGAGCGAGAGAAGTGGGTGGTGCTCGGCGGCAACGGGAGCGGAAAGTCGACGGTGATCGAGCTCATCACGGGCGACAACTTACAGGCGGGCGGTAGGAGCACACCTCCACACACACACACACACACACATCTCCACATCCCGTGAGGCAGGGAGGAGCCCCCTGCGGCAGTCAAGCTGCAAGGCGCAGCGCACATGGGCCAGGTGGCCTGACCCTTCCACGCAACCTGCAGGGCTTCCGGCAGGACCTGTGGCTCTTTGGCAGGAAGAAGGGGAGCGGCGAGAGCATCTGGGACATCAAGAAGCAGCTGGGTGAAGCCCCACGAGAGCCCACACAGCTCCACCGCGGCCCCACTTGTCTCTCGTGTCCTTCACACCTTCTCGTTGCAGGCGTCCTCTCCACCGAGTTCCACATGGCCTCACGTCCGTAGATGCTTCCCCCCTACAGACCCGTGCACTCCAACTACCGCTCGCGACGACACACGCTCCGCTGTACTCGGCCGTACTGCAGCCGTGTCCGCTACACCCGTAGCCTTTGCACTCACGCGGCCCCGAACACAATCTCCCGCGAACCCCTCCGCTGCATCCAGGACTACATTGACTACGCCGACCCGTCCATCAACCGGAACGCAGCCTCGGGCGGCGGCGTCACCAACTGGGAGGCGCGTGCTCTCTGCCCTCCTCTCTGCTGCGTAGCCGCAGCCGCACTCGCGGCTGCCGCTGGGGAAGACAGCGAGGGATCCCCCCCTCCCTCCCCCGCAGGTTGTCCTCTCCGGCTTCTTCGACTCGGTGGGGCTGCGGGGCTGCGCCGTCACACCCTCCCACGAGCAGGAAGCCAGGCGGCTGGTCGAGCGGCTCGGCCTGCAGGACCTGATCTCGCACCCGCCACCACGCGGCTGCACCGCCGCCGCCGCCTCCGCCTCCGCCTCCGCCTCCGCCTCCGCCTCTGCCGCCTCCGCCTCTGCCGCCTCCGCCTCTGCCGCCTCCGCCGGGGAGGCACGCCCGGCCGCCCGCGCGACAGCTGGCCGAGGTGTGGCCGAGTCGCCGTCGAGGCTTGGGTCCGCTGTAGGCGCCTCCGGACGGGCGCGTGAGCCAGACCTTCCGGGACTTGTCCAGGACATGTCATTGACATATCCGATAGGCGGGGCGCGTGAGCCAGACCTTCTTCCACCTCTCGCACGGCCAGCAGAAGCTGGTGCTGCTCTGCCGCGCCCTCGTCAAGCGGCCGAGGCTGCTTCTCCTCGACGAGCCGACGCACGGCCTCTCGGCGGCCTTCCCCCACGCGGGACGGGTTCGGCCGGCTTGCCCCACGCGGTAGGATTGAATGTGTTGCTGGTAGGGGCACAATCGCGAGCGGCTCCTGGAGACGCTTGCCTCGCTGGCCGACGATGCGGAGTCGCCGGCGGTGGTGTACGTGACGCACCGCAGCGACGAGATCGAGGCGCCATTGACACCGTGGCATCTCTTGATTGCCTCGGATGGTAGTATTTTTCCTCAGGCGCTCGAGTACGAGAATGTGCTGCAGCTCACGGGAGGCGCGGCGGCCGACGGGTCGGGCTGGAGGGTGGTGCGCACACCGAGGTAGAGAGCAGTGGCCCCAGAGCCCAGTGCCGGTGATGCGCCTCCAATGGCGCGGTGTGCACCTGACGACGTGCAGGCTACAGCGTCCAGCCGCAGCGTGCACGCAGGAGGACCAGCCAGGACGGTCCGACGCACTCGCACACTAACAAAACAAACCACACATACATACACACATGCGCACATGCACAGGCATGGCACATGCACACGTGCACACATGTCTCATGACGATTGACGCGTGAGAGGTCATGTGTGCATGTGGATGTGCATGCGAACGACCCTGTACATATACGCGCGCACAACCCGAGACCGGACAAACACACGCGGAGCTATAAGAAAATCGGATCCCGAGTGACACATGGCGAGAGACACATACAAATACACGATTGGTGACGCTGGTCCAAAGGCGCCAGCGCACCCCCGTCCGCGCCGCGCTGCCGGGCTAGAAGGAGAATCGCCGCCTACCCCTGCAGCAGCACCTTTTTGAAAAGCTCGTACGAGATGGAGTTCTTGTCTCCCCCCTTCGCGGCGACGAGCAAGTTCATCTCGTCGAGGAGGAGCCCCGTCTCGCGGTCGTTGAGCTCGAGGCCGAAGGCGGCGACGGCGTTCTTCATCTCCTTCTTGGAGATCTTGCCGTCGCCGTCCTTGTCGAAGAGGCTGAACGCCTCGCGCAGCTGCTGCTCCTCGGAGGCGGCGCCCGGCGCGTTGGCCGCCTTGTCCAGCAGCAGCTTGAACTGCGACTGGTTGATGGTCTGTCGCGGGCCAACGGGCGGCGGGGGGGGTCGGTGGTGGAGGCGGGGCCGGCGGCGGCGGAGGCGGGGGCGGGGCGGCAGTGTAGAGGAGGGAGCGGAGAGGGCAAGGGGGAGGGGCGGGTGGCGGCGGCGGGGTAGAGGGGCTGGTAAAGATGGCGGCGTCGAGGAGTTCGCCTCGTGCAGGCGGTGCTTGAGGCGGCGGTGGAGCGAGGGGGTGGGCGGGAGCGGGAAACGAGGGCGGCGGCGGGGTGGCGAGGGAGGGCGTGTGGCGACGGGCCTGCGTGCGCGCGGAGCCAGCCTCGTGCATAATGTCGATCGCCTCCTCGTCGGTGATCGGGTTGCCGAGGTCCTTCATCACTGCCTTGAGCTCATTCTTCGATATTTTCCCGTCGTGATTCTTGTCAAACAGGTCGAAAGCATCCAGGTGCGAGCCGGATCCAGCCATCGTGGAGCGGCGCTCGCGGCGGCGGCAGAGGCGGCGGACGCGGCGGCAGCGACTTGCGCCGAGCGAAGGCAGGGAGCCCTGCGCGGGGATGCAGCGGGGGCGGGGTGACAGGGGCGTTTCGAGGGGCGGAGAGGTGACAGGCGCGGCAAGCGAGCCAAGGCGGCGTGCAGCGCTGCTTTGGAAAAGAATTTACCCCGAGCACGACACGATTCCTCCCCCGGCCAGAGGAGGAAATGACAAGGGAGAGAACGACGAGAGTGGGACGACCGCGAGGTGGCATGAAGGTTGCAGCGAGAGTCGGAGAGAGACTGCGAAGAGAGATAGGAAGAGGCAGACTCCCTAGGGTGGGCGACGGCTAGCGCACCACACACCTCTCCTTAAAATCCCTGTGTGGTGGCGGCGTGCCGTCCTCCCATCCCTCCCTTGGGTTGTCTGTTTTCTTTCTTTCTTTTTCCCCCGGGACGACCGCGAGGTGGCATGAAGGTTGCAGCGAGAATCGGCGAGAGACTGCGAAGAGAGATAGGAAGAGGCAGACTCCCTAGGGTGGGCGACGGCTAGCGCACCACACACCTCTCCTTAAAATCCCTGTGTGGTGGCGGCGTGCCGTCCTCCCATCCCTCCCTTGGGTTGTCTGTTTTCTTTCTTTCTTTCTTTTCCTCCCCCATCCCTTCCTTAAGCTAATACTCCCTCCAGCGGCAACACATCGGCCGTGGCTACCTCGTCGCGATGATGATTCGGTTCATCGGCGTAATGCTCAGCGGCACTGCGCTCCACCTGACCGTGTATCCCAGCTTTTCAAGACGGTACGTCCGGTGCACGTCGGACGCCAGCGGCACGCCGAGCGCGCGGCGCAGCGCCTCGGGAGCGTCGGCGGCGGTCTGCGAGTAGCAGCACGGCATCAGCGCGATCGAGCGCGCGTCGGCCTCGGCCGCGGCGTCGATGATGCGGTCAGTGAGGGTGCCGCACCCGTGCACGCCGACGACGGCGCAGCCACGCGGGAGCGGCGCCTCTCCAAGCCTGGCCGGCAAGTGCACGACGCGGCCCTCCGCCCACGGTGCAACCTCCGCCGCGGCTGCAGCCACCGCGTCGAACGACTTTGGGCGTTGCGGGTCGTGCACTTGGACGCGCCCAAACTGCTCAAACTTGAAGACTGCAGCAAGAGCGCCGACGAGGCCATGGCCTCCCGCCGCGTCGACCAGCGTGCCGCTCTCAGACTTGAGATGGCTCCGCACGCGCGCAAAGAACTCGGTCGCCTCGAAGAACTCCTTGCGATCGACCGCGCGCCGCGCTGCGAGCGCGAGGCCAAAGCGGCCCATAAGCGTGCCGCCAGAAAACAGCGCGGCGGTCGGGTCGCCTCCGGCAGCCGTGCCGCCCTCCTCTCGCAAGTGGAGCCGGTACCGCCGGCCGGCGTTGACCGCGTGGCGCGTCGCCTCATCGTTGAGCGCCGGCCAGGCTCGAAAGCGGGCGTCTGCAGCTACGTGCGCGGCGTGCAGGCCGGCGGCGAACGGCGAGGGTCCTCCGTCGGCTGTACGCCGCTGCGGTGCAGCTGTGCGACGCACCGGAGGTGCTGATGAGAGCAACAAGGGTGCAACGCAAAGCATTCGGTGTGCTCGTGCTGGGGTGATTCACGAGGGGTGCGCTCTCCCCGCGCCCCCCCCCCGCTGAGGCGCCAATTCCGATCGGCCCTTTTCTGCGGGATGAAGTGAACGTTCAAATAGTGCATCTGTTTGGTACTCGACCGTTGCTGACAGTAGTTGGGTTCGTATGCAACCGTTTTGGGTTGCTGCAGCGATGACAATTAATTGCTGTCGCCCTATGCGCCATCACCCCCTTCGCCTCTTCCACCGCCGTTGCCGCCCCCCTCTCCTCCGCCCTACCTACCTCCCCCGCCCCCGGACCCCTCCCTGCCGCCGCGGTCCCCCCTACCACCTCCACCGCCGCCGCCCTCCCCTTGGCCGCCCCCTCCATCACCATCTCCTCCTTCGCCGCCCTCTCCGCCTCCACCAAGCCTTCCGCCCTCACCTTCGCCTCCCCCCCCGCCACCACCATCTCCGCCACCGCCCTCCCCGCCGCCGGCCCCCCTACCGCCATCCTCTCCGGCTTCCCCGTCGCCTCCGAGGCGACCGTGACATTGAGCCTCGCCCACGAGGTCGCCGCCACCTCGCGCGACGCGTGTTTGCCGCCGCCTTCCGACGAGACGTGGCGGCGTCACTTGACGTGAACGAGGATGCGGTCTTCGTCCTCGCTATCTCGGCCGACTCCACCGTCGTCGACTTCAGCGTGCCCGGCGCCGGTGGCGTGGCGGGCATACTACGCGGACTGACTGACCCTGGGGGGTGCGCGTTCGCACACAAGGCGTACGTCGGGCAGCGGCAGATCATCACAGAATGGAAGGGCCGGAACCTGTCTCTCGAGAAACAACGGTTCAACAAGACGGTGCAGCACTACCGTGGGCGTGTGGAGCACCTCATTGGCCAGGTAGTGGACAACCGTATGGCTCTGTGCACTACGTGGCGTGGCTCGTTCACCCTGCTTGCCGCGGTGAAGTCGCGGCGCACATGGTTGGGCTCCAGGAGCGTATGAAGGGACCTAGGTATGATGTGTTTGGCCCGGCCGGTGTGCCCGCCGCACATCGCGGCGCAGTTTCTTTAGTGCTTTTTGCTGTTTTTGCTGTTAACACTGCAGCACCTCCGCGCCGCCCAGCCGTGCAGCCCAGCCAGCCGGAGGCGGGCCGCAAATGTCCCAGCCGCGCCCCCGAGCGAGGCCGAGCGAGGCCGAGCGGTCCCGAGCGGCCCCGAGCGGTCCCGAGCGGTCCCGAGGGACCCGAGTGGTCCCGAGCGGTCCCAAAAGCGGTCCCGAGCGGTCCCGAGCGGTTTCGAGTGGCCCCAGAGCACCCCAGAGCACCCCAGAGCACCCCAGAGCCTACCTGAGAGCCCACGACCGCTTGGCAGGCACCTGCGCGAGCCTTTTTCTTTAATGATTAACATCCGTAGTAAAGAATAGTGGTGGCACGGCTTCTCACCCGAGACCGCCGCGGAGACGACACCCTGCTGTTCTCTGAAGATGTCAGCCATTGGAAGCAAGGAGGAGACGCGCCTCTACTTTGAGGCGGTGGAGCTCGCAGAGGCGGTACTGAAGGCCGCAGCCGTCCTTGCCTCGGCCTGTCCGTCGTCTCGCGCCAGTGGCTCCACCAACGCGACGCTCGCCCGGGGCCTCCGCGAACTCGACCTCTCCGCCGTGCACGAGGCGCGCGCCCGTTGCACGTCTGCCCACTCTCGCCAGCTCGCCTCCCTGCTCGTGCTCGGGAGCCGTCACAAGACCACCTGCTGCCGGCACGTCTCCCGAGGCTGCGAGCACGACTCAAGCACCCGTGGCTGCGCCTTCTTCCACGACGTGCGGCGCGACAGGCGTCGCGACCCAATGGTGTACCCGACCCAGCTCGTCATGTGCCCGCAGAACCAGGCGCGTCCTCACGGGCGATGAAGTGCCGCGCGCGCCGCTTGCGTCCCGCGTCATATGCCACACTCAGGAACCCATACTGTGACCTGGTAGCATATGCGCCTCCCCCTTTTAGGACGGGCTGTGCCCCGACGGCGACGACTGCAGCATGGCGCACAGCGAGTACGAGATGAAGAACCACCCGCTCGTTCTGCTGCGGCAGCTCCAGACGAGCCGCCGTGTCGGAGGGGGCGCCGGCATCGCCGTCGACCCGAGCTCGTTTGCCGGCTCCCTTCACATCCGCCAGATGAACGAGGATGGGAGCGTCGTCGTGTCTGGCGGAGCGCTCGGCAAGTCGTCGGACATGCGCGTGCGTGCGGGCCTTGCTGTGCTCAACGGCGGTGGTCAGCACGCTCCTGCCCGCCCCGCCGCTCTCGAGCCGGCTGCCGTTTCTCCACGCCGCATCCACGCGCCACTTGCCGACGAGTCGCCCGCGGCCGTTGCGGAGCGGCTCTACTCGACGGTGCGAAGCTTGGTGCTCTCCACACCAGAAGCGAGCAGCATCGCCCTCTCCAGCGTGGTGACCCACTTCCAGCACGCGGAGCGCCAGCAGCTGAACAAGGCCGTTCGCGGTTTCGGCTGCAAGAACCTCACGCACTTCATGCGCGTGCACCTCAAGGACGAGCTCACCCTGCACGAAGGGAGTAATCGTCAGGTGTACGTGTCGCTCGCCCCGCTCGCGCGAGGCGGGTTCGACCTCTCGCAGCAGCTACGCGGCGCCTCTTTCTGCCCGCCGTGCGGAGACTCCGAGTCGCCAAGCCGCAGCGTGCTCAGCTCCTTCCCGGCGCTGATGGAGCAGCTGCAGCCAAGCTGCCGTGCCTCGCCCTGCCCGCACCTCCCACTGCCGGTGGTGGATTCCGCAATCGGATACGACGCGTCAACGCCAGTGGCGGTGGGGGCCTCTATCGAGCAGTGGCTGTCACAGATGCCGACGCGCGAGGTCTCTCCGACCGATGTCGCTCCGAGGGAGTGGACCCAGGAGCCACCCGAGGGGATGAAGGCCCCGCGGGCGCGGCGCCGCCTCGACCTGCAGCTGCCGGCGACGGCCTCGAAAGGGCCCGCCCCCGCCCCCGCACTTGGCGACAGCTTTACGGGAGACCTCGAGACGCTGTGGCTCGATGAGCCTACCCTGCCGCCCCCTCCATCGAGCCCCGCCCCGCTCCATGACCTCTATCCGTCCGCATCCACGTTTCCGCCCGAGGCCTCCGAGGCGTGGTGGGGCTCCGCCGACGACGTGGCCCCTCTCGAGGCGCGGTGCTGGCGACGTCGACTGGCAGAGACGCGGCGCCCCATCAAGGACTTTCCGGAGGCGTCCTCCGCCTTCTCTCCGCCTCCGCCAGTCGGCCAAACTCCTGAGCACGCCCCGCGGCGGCGCCTCTCCTGCTGCGCGAGCCTGACCTGCAGCGACGGCAGCTCCGCACCCGGCGCGCGGCCATACTCGTCCGAGCTATGGGAGTAAGCCGTGCCCCTCGGTGGGCGGCCGGGAAAGGAGAGCTGTGACGCCTTTCGCCTCCTCGGAGCACGGAGGCGGCAGCGACGCCAGCGGGAGTGAAGAGCACGAGGGCAGGGGAGGGGGTCAAAGGCGGGGCGATTCCGACGCCTCTTCCTCGCGCCAAGTGCCGAGCCGATGAACCTGAGAGGTTGGGGGTGCGCGGGCCGACACTGCACACACGCGACGGACACGCGCTCGCGCGCCTCTGTTGGAGGCGGTGTGATCATGCCCCGCTGGCAGAGTCCAGAGTGCATGGACTACCCCCACTCCTTCACGCAGCCTGACACACAGTGAGAGGTGTCACAGCTCGAGATCGAGAGAGAGGAGAGAATGAAAGAGTGGGCAGAGAATCCTGCTCAGGGTTCGGCACACCTCTCTCCGTCGTGTTTGGCGTCTGAGTTATTTTCTGGTGTGTGGGACTCGGGAACACGGCGCCTTGCACCCGACCTTGCTGTTGTGAGATCTGCGCAACACAGAGAGCGTGGGCAAGTCCAGAACGAAAGAACATTCAAAGTTTCGCCGGGCACCGCTGGGATATACACAGGTCACAGCGCACAGGCCACAGCTCTCAAAAAACTAAAAAGCAGACTCGTATCTCTCTCTCGCTTCATAGCATGATTCAATGGACACTGATCCGCGGAGACCGCGCCCCATCGCCTGGAGGACCAAAGAAGGCGACGGGCAGCTCGCCGATCCGCAGCTCGGTCCCTCCGTGGGGGACCAGATCGCGCACCTCGGCGGGCCCGCACCGGGCGGCCGCGTCGCACGCTGGCGAACGCGGCGGCTCCGCGGCCGAGTTGGCGGTGACGCTCCAGGTGGGAAGCGGTCGGAGCCTCGCTGCGATCGAGGTCGGCCAGTTGCTGTGATTCCATGGCGCCGCGCCGGATCGGTAGCCACGGCTCTCGAAGCGAAGGGTGGAGCCGGGCGATGCTGGGTCGACGTCGAGCGCAAAGCGCCACGGGCTGGTCGGCTGCGCGCAAGTGCACGGAGAATGAGGGCAAGGGCAGTGGCGAGGGCGGTGGCGGTGGCGGTGGCGAGGGCGGTGCGAGGGCGAGGGCGAGGGTGAGGGCGGTGGTGAGGGTGAGGGCGAAGGCGAGGGTGAGGGTGGGGGCGAGGGCGAGGGTGGGGCGAGGGCGAGGGTGGGGGTGAGGGCGAGGGTGAGGGTGAGGGTAAGGGCGAGGGTTGAGGTGAGGGTGAGGGTGAGGGTGAGGGCGAGGGTGAGGGTGAGGGTGAGGGTGATAGTGAGGGCCTGCAGGTAGTAGTCGGAGGACATGTCGGCCGTACCAAAGTGGTGCGCATCTGAGCATACGTCGGGGGTGAGACTGCGACATTGTCAGCGCACTCGGGTTTGCAGGGGCTACGGAGTCCAGTGTGGACACGGCTGGAAGAGCGTAGGAGACAGCAGCAGTGTCTCGAGAGGGATCGGAACAGACGGGCGCGGCTTCTATGCTCCCTCACAGACGGTGTAGTTTGGCGCGATCGGCAGCGAGTAGAGCAGCGCGCCGCGGTGAACGCTCGCCGCGCCGCCGTCCCACCGCTCAAGCCGCGTCTCCGGCCTACGATCTCACGCGATCTCGTGCGGTCTCGGGCAATCTCCCGCCCCGATCGGCACGCGTGAAAACGCCGGCCGATCTCGACTGCGGAGCCCCGACTGCTGGCGGATCTCGGCGGATCTCGGCGGATCTCGGCGGGTCTCTGCGGGTCTCGGACCGAAAGGCCACGGCAAAGACGTCGGCGCCGCCCGTCGCCACGCCGCGGAAGAGGGTGCCGTTGGCAGCCGCCGCGCCGTTGACCGTCGCCTTGACGGCCCAGCCAGGGATGCGCAGGTAAACGGGCGTGCCGGCGGCGGCGCGGACCGTGACGGTGGCGTCGTCGCCGAACGGGTACGTCGTGTCGACCTCGACCGTCGCGCCGGAAGGGAGCTTGGCGGCCGCGGGCGCCCACCTGTCGGCGAAGCATCTGCGGTCGTGCTGTCCGTGGACGTGGACGTGGACGTGGGGCGCGCACATCGAGACGACGACGCCGCCGTCGGGGGCGGAGTGGAAGAGCGAGTTGGCGAACTTTGGCCAGCCCTGGTGGAAGTTTGCCGTGCAGCAGCCGAAGTTTGGCTCGAGGCCGTACGTCTCGGAGAAGGCGTTGTCGTGCTGCCAGACGTGCGGGCTCGCCTTGATTGCGTTGATCTCGTTGACCGCCTGGAGGTACTGGTGCGCCCACATGTCGCCCCCCCTCGGCGAGGCCCAAGTGGCGGGGAGGGCGTTGTAGGCGATGCGCTCCGTACGGTCGGCAAAGGCGAGAGTCCCGTGGACGGAGTACATCGCCTCGTACGAGTACAGCGCCTGTGTGTGTGTGTGGACGTGTCACGGACGGGCCCCGCACTCTGCGCCACGTGGGCCCGTGCGAGTGCAGCGCCTCGACGACGCCACACAGCTCGATGCCGCGCGAGGGGGAGCGCGTGTGCGGGACGGGAGTAATCTCGTCGCCGAGGTACCTGTTCACGGGCGGAGCCGCGGCACACATCCCCCGAGGGCTGGCCGGCTAGATCTCGGCTAGATCTCAGCGATATATCAGCTGTATCCCGGCTAGATCCCGGCTAGATCTCAGGGCTAGATCTCGGCTGTATCTCGGCTAGATCTCGCACATCCCCGTGGGCTGGCCGTACGCCGCGTCGAGCTTGCGCATGCGGCGGAGCGAGAGCTGCGCCATGGAGAGGTTGGCGTGCGACGCCGACGAGTTGAAGCGCCACCACACCGCCGCCGACTTGAGGCCCTGCAGCGGGCCGAGGGAGGGCAAGGTGGAACGCCTCCCTGGGCACCCCTCGCTTCTCCAAATCCCGGAACAGGCACGCGCCGGCACGGCATTCCAGTGCGAGGCCCAGTGCGCGTGGGTGAGCGGGCCTGCGCCACGTTGACGTTGTGGTTCGACGTGCGGGGGACGGCCTCGAACCAGCCGTCCCAGTCCTCGCCTTGCGCCTTGAGCAGCGCGATGAGCTCGAGGAGCTCGCCTGGGGGGTAGGGGGGGACTCTCTCAGCGCGTCGGTCAGGCCGGCGAGTGATCTCGTGATCTCAGGTGATCTCGTATCATCTTGGGTGATCTCGGGTGATCTGGCCTCTCTGAGCGTCGGTCAGCCGTGCGTTGTCGATCAGCCACTCTGCCGACTTGGCCATGTCGATCCAGCGCGCCTTTGTGCGGCTCGCTAGCGGTGATCTCGGGCGATCTCGATCTCGGGTGCGCTTGGTCGGGTGATCTCGGGCGATCTCGCCTTCGCCCAGCTGGCAAGCGGAGCTTTGGCCATCCGCCGCCGCTGCTCCAGAAGGTGCAGCAGCATGGCGCGCGACGCCTTCGAGAAAGCGGCCGCGTCGCCCTCCCTCTTCGCCTCGGCCCACTGCCAGAGCGCCTGCAACGATTCGTTCATCAATCATCGTTCACCAATCAGGCTATGTCCCCACCTCCCCCCGCGTGGCCCACTGCGAGCCACGTTGCCTGCAGTACGTTGGAGGGGCCCCAGTACTGCCCCCCGCTGGCAGGGCTGCTGTCGGGACCGAGCCAGCCGCTCGTGGCGTTCGCGTGCGCGAGGATGACCTCCACGTACCGCTCGACTTGGCCCATGAGGTCGACCGGCGTCGGCTTCGGGATATTTCTGCCGTGGCACGCGCAAGTCGACACGCCCGCAGCCGCTTCTTTGCCGCCCACAGGAGCCGCGGGGCTAGCGGCCGTCGCCTGCGGGAGCTGCCCCTTGTGCCAGCAGCGAACCGGCGCCGAGCATGTCTCGGCCGCGTAGCCGACGCAGTCGCTGCGCGCCGCGCAGTCGTCGCGGCACTCCGCGGCGCTCTCCACGGGGTAGCCCGCCACGCCTCCGGCGATCACCGCGCCACGCACCTCGCCGCCGCTCTCGCAGAGCGTCGACATCCAGCCGTGGCGGCCCCACGGCGCCTTGTAGATGCCGGCCACGGGCGGCAGCTCATCGATGCCCGCGTTGCGGAGCAGGAAGGCGAGCGGAATCACCCCGTTCAGCCAGTACGGCGTCCGCTCGTGCAGCCCGCCGTCGCCCGAGCCGCCAATCCAGACGGAGCTCATGATGTCATGCCAGAACTGCGAGGCGGTCGTCACGGCTTTTTATGGTGCAGTCGCGCACGGCTCACTGAGATTTGCGAGTTGTGTGAGCAGTGTGCGAGCCGTGCGAGTCTGTGCAGGTGCGCGCCGGGCCGTGCAGAGGCTGTGGAGTGTGGCGGCGTGCCAAGCGCAGGCTGAGCGCTGCATACACACACATATATGGGCGCAAGTATGCGCCTGAGCGAGGTGGCCAGAGAGGCCCTCCGCCTGCAGCGTCAGCTGCTTCAGGAGCCATCCCTTCGGCGTAACAGAGCCCACGGGCAGCGGCTGGTACGCGTAGGGCTGCAGAGGCACAGCGGTGCAAAGGCCCAAGGTGGCCAACAACATGGCTGTTTGTGACCTTGTGAAGGCATTTTAAAGAAACCAGTGCCGCCCCACCCCCCTCCCTCCCTTGGTTGTCTCAGACACACACACACACACACACACACACACACACACACACACACACACACACACACACACACACACACACACACACACACACACACACACACACGCAAGGGCGAGGACACGCGCAGGGGCCGCACCTCTAGCGAAGCCCACAGAGTGGGAGACTCCTATCACCGCCCTGCCACCCACGTGAGCCTTTTGGCCGCCTCTGTCAGTGTGCCCGTGGTAGTGAGAGACTGCTGGTGAGAAGCCGGAGGAAGGTCGCTAGTCGAGAGAGATCGCCAGTGGAATAGGGAGTCCACCGTGCTGCGAGCCTGTCGCTGTCCCTTGTCAGGAGCAGGAGAACTAGGAGAGCGCAACCAGTAGGAGGCCCGCGCCTGCCCCCGTGCCGCCGGGTGCAACCTGTCCTATACGAGAGAGGAATCCCTGGGACCCTGTCGTGTGGGTGAACCCTGCCCAGCCCCCCTCCGTGTCGCGATGCGCTCCCCGCTCCCGTTCCCCTGTGTCCCTGATCGTCCTTCCAAGATCCTGCTCGTGCAGGTGGGGACCCTGTCCCTCTCCCACCCCTCGTTTGGCGTGCCCGTTTTATTTATTTATTTATTTATTCCCTTGGTTGTCTGTTTTCTTTCTTTCTTTCTTTTCCAGGTGCTCCAAGTGCTCCCGATGGCCACATGCGTCACAACTCACGGGCGCGTTGCACGGCACTCAGTCTCAGAGAAAAATACGGGGGGTGGGGGGGTGGCTGAGACGCAAGAGGCAAGTGCGAGGGCCGAGGGGAGGGGTGCGGGCCGTCCCCGAGAGCCGCTTTGCCGCCCCCATCACGCACCCCCATCACGCGCGCGCCGCACCCCGCACCCCCATCACGCTCGGGTCCCACACGACGGCCACGGGAGACGCTCAGCGCGAGGCCCGTGGTCGACCTGGCCTGTGCGGCTCGGACGGGCCCGTCAGAAGGGCGGCTGGTCAGGCCCGTCCGAGAATGCCCGGTCTCGGTAGTACGGCGGCGGCGGGCCGCCCTCGCGGTAGTCCATCGGCCCGTCGTAGTAGGGCGGCGGCGGGCCGTCGCGGAAGACTTCCGGGTAATACGGCGGCAGGCCCGCGGCCGGGAGCCGGAGCACCCATCCCCTCTTCCACGCGTACCCGAGCGACGCGGCCGCGACGCCAAACGCAAAGACAGACTCGCCAAAGTACGCGAGCAGCTGCACAAACATCTCGGGCCTGTCGCTGAAGGACGGCTGCACGGAGCTGAGGGCGCGGCACAGCGCGAAGGCGAAGACCGTCCCTCGCTTCGGTGTGTCGTTGAAGTCGCTGCGCGCCGCGTAGCGGTAGACGACGCCGAAGAGCGCGAGTTGCACCGCGAGCGCCCCGGTGCTGAACTCCCACTGGGCCAGCGCCGGCGCCTTGACGGGCAAGGTGGCTAGCAGCGCGGACGCCTTGACGGGCGCCGACGCCAGGCTGCCGCTCAGCGCCGCGATGCCGGCCGCCTTGGCGCTCTCACTGCGCTCCTCCGAGTCGAAGCTGAGCCGGATGGGCGTCGCAGCGGAGCGCCGAGCAGCCGGCGCCAGTGGCGGCGGCGCGGACGAGGGAACGAAGGCGGCGGCGGCGGCGGTGCAGACGGCGAGCATCTCCCGCCCCTTTCGCGGAGGGGGCACCTCACAGGCGCTCTCTCTGGAGCCGGTCGCTCAGAAAGACGATCGAAGCCTCGACGAATGACGGCATCGGATTTCTTTTTGCTTTGGCGGCACTCCAGAGCCTGGCTGTTCTTCACCTTTCTACCTAACCTAACCACTCCAAGCGGCAGGGATTTTTTTTGCAAAAAGTCTATTTCCTTTACCTGGATGTGAGGTTACTGACTGCACTCCAAGTGCTCTAAGTTTATCACCGTTTCAGAGAGAGATTTAGTGTTGTGTTTTGTTGTTTTGCCGTTTCAGAGAGAGAGATTTTACTACTACTTTGTTGAGATTTTTAGAAGCCAAAAGAAATGTGTGACACACAGCTCCTTGGCCGACTACGCGACTAGTTAATTACCTTTCCAACTCTTCTTCTCTCCTCTCGCGTCCCTGCCTCGCGCACGCCGTGCGCCCCCTCAGCACTGGGCTCCGGCACGGGGAGGAACGCCTCGTCCAGCGCCGACGCGTCGCACGACCCGAGGGTGGTGGCCGTGGTGGTGGTGCCGCCGGCGCCGGCGCAATCCTCGTCGGCCCGCGAGGCGGGATGACGGGTGCGCGGCCGCGCGAGGGTGCTCGGCTGGACGTGCGCCCAGTCGAGGCGGCAGACGATGGTCGTCGTCCACGCGGATGCGAACGCGAGCGCCGCCGCGTTGCCGATCCAGATGCCGAGCAGCGGGCGGCCGTGCGGCATGTGCGCGACGAGGCCGAGGTAGGCGGCGAGAGGCAGGCCGACGAGGCCGTAGCCGATCAGCGCGCCGGTCGCGGCGCCGCGCTGCCGGCTAGCGCCGCGCAGTGCACCGAAGAGCGTCATGAAGATGGCGTAGCCGGGCACTGAGACGGCGGGGCCGAGGGAGCAGCGGGCGATCATGTCGACGACGCGCTCGTCCGACGTAAACGCGCGCGCGAGCGGAGTGCGTGCGCCGTAGATGATTCCAGCGACCGCAGCCGAGATGGCGAGCGCCACGAGGCCTGCGACGGCGCACAGCCGTGGGACGACGTGCCCTGCCCGCTCGCCGATGGCGCGGCCGGTCAGCGCGCAGAGGGCGGTGCCCAGCCCGGTGAAGGCCATGTAGCACACCACCAGCAAATTGAACAACGTGCCGTGTGCGCCCAGGCTAACGCGAGCGTCGGGCAGCAAGCCAGCCATGACGGCCTGCGCCTCGAACGACCACCACTCGGTCCACATGATTGCCGCCGCCGGAAGCGCGACGCGCATGTACTGCCACAGCGCACGCGCCGAGAAGATTCGGAGCGCGCGGTCGCCGCGCCGCCAGACGACGTCGGCCAGGCCCTCGTGCCGCCGCACGAGCACAAGCATCGCAATCAGCTCGACAAGCCCGCCAAGCGACCTCGCGGCCGCGAGACCCAGGTAGCCCCAGCCGAGGATCTGCGGGCTGACCGCCAGCACGGCAAAGCCCGTCGTTGTGCCCGCTGACAGGCAGCGCGCGTACAGCCCGGGACGTGGCCGCTGCGCGCCGTCACACGCCGTCTGCAGCGCGTTGGACAGCCAAAAGAGCGGCACCCCAGGCAGCTGAAGCAAGGCAACGCGCGCGCTGCAGCGCGCAACGTCGGCAGGCTGGCCCATCGACAGCAGCAGCGGCTCGGCGAACCCGGCCGCCAGCCCGCTGACTAGGAGCAGCGCAGCGTGGATGACGATCGCTCGCCGCAAATGCACGCCCGCCTCGGCGGCGGAGCGTCCGGCGCCAAAGGCCTGCGAGCAGAGCGTTGCGAGGCCCATGTTGACGCCGAAGCCGAGGGAGAGCCCGGTGATGTTGGAGTACATCTTGCCGAGCGACGCGGCATCAAAGTGCGCCGGCGTATCATCCCAGTGGCCGACGAGCGACAGCGTGGCGCGGTCGGCGGCGCAGTTGACAAAGCCGCGGAGCATGGCGGGCCAGCCGAGGCGAAGGAGCGCGCGGAGGGCGGCAGGAGAGGTGGTGAGCTCCGCCATCGTGCATACATATTCTCGGGCGGCGGGAGAGGTGGGGACACAATTTCGTTGATCGGTGGCGGAGAGTTGGGTCGGCGTTCCGCCAAGCAAGCAGACAGCGGGAAGGTGAACCTCGCTGCCGCCACGCGCCTCCGCCGGAGTTGGCGCGACGGCGCTTTTTGCCACTACTCGAGTAGTCCGCGCTGAATTTCTTTTTATAGCGCTTTTTCTTTGCGGTGGCCGGCGACGTCGAAAACATCAACAAGCAGGCGCGCAATGCGCGTGCCGACTGGGTTAATCCTCTGGGCGTGCCAAATGGGTCAACGACGTCGAGAACATGCCAACAAAGCAAGCGGCAGAGACGTCCTCTTAAGCTCTTATCCTCTTATCCTCGGCCCCAGTGGGGGGCGCCCACGCCGCCTAGCTCTGCGGGCGGGCCCCTCCACTCTTCACGTACGGATCATGTAGTCCCCACAATCGCTGTCGTGGGATCGCTTGTCATGTGAGACTGTGTTAAAGAAAGAAAGAAAGAAAACAGACAAGCCGCGGAGGGATGGGAGGACGGCACGCCGCCACCACACAGGGATTTTAAGGAGAGGTGTGTGGTGCGCTAGCCGTCGCCCACCCTAGGGAGTCTGCCTCTTCCTATCTCTCTTCGCAGTCTCTCGTGTGAGCTGTGTTGGGCTCTGTGCTTGAGCGAGGGAAAGGGGGCCCGCCGGCATTGCACCCCGCCCGAGACGCCGGTCTCGGGCGCTGCTGGCGCGCCCCACCCTTTCATCCTTTTTAGATGAGGCCACGGGTTCCGAGGCGGGCGAGGCGGCTGCTGAGGCGTTGGCGGAGGCGGCGGTCGACGCCGTCTACGGGGCGCTCGTAGCGGCGACGCTCGAGGAGTGGGCGGGCGCGAGCACGGACAACCCCATCTCCGCGGCGGACGCTCGAGGCCCAGGCCTCGAGTGTCAGCAGTGCTTTGGGAGCTTTTACGACGAGTTTGGCGTGGAGCCGTGGCTGTGGCGCCGGGCGTTGCGTGAGGGCTGGTCGGAGCTGGGGGGCTGGTCGAGAGAGGAGATGGAGGCGGCGGAGAAGGAAATCTGGCGCGGCGAGAGTTCTGAGATCTCTCAGGTCTGCGATGCTTGCCTGGAAGGCTTCTTGGGGGGTGGCTTCGCCTTCGGCGACTACTCGATGCTGCGGAAGGGGCATGCGCCGTCTGCGAATCACCCCTGGATAGGTCGCTCGCGCGACCTCTCCTGGATGCGCACCCATTGGATTGGGGTCACGCGGAGGGAGGCGCTGTTAGCGGCGGAGGAGGCGAAGGCGGCCGCGCGGGCGGCGGAGAAGGCGCGGGCGGCGGAGGGGGGGAAGGGCGGCGGCAGCGGGCGGCAGTCCCGCGAGGCACGCCGGCGGAAGGGTTCGTCTTCGCGGGGCGGGGTGCGCACTGCGCGCCGCGAGGATGAGGAGCCTGAGCCAGGGGAGGGTTGGGAAGGGGGGGCGAGGCCGGAGGAGTATGACGGCCTCTTCGACGACCCATAAGGGGCCGTTGTCTGCTGTGCCTTTTGTGGTGCTAGTTCGTGCCAGTCTGCTTGGCATGAGAATTCTCTTTCTTGGCCCCGCCTTGCGGTGTTCGCGTCCGGCTGACCTTGGAGAGAGTGCAGGCGCCCAGCGCCAGGTGCCCGTGGACGCTGAGGAAATCAGTGCCAGTGGACGCTGACGCCGGGCATTGTGAAGGCAATGTCTGCCGACTCTACCGTCTCCTTGGGCGGCTCTTCCGTGGGCGGCTCGAGCCAGTACTTTGACGCGCAGTCCCTCGCCAACACCAGCGAGTCACTGCGCGACGCCTCCCTCTCCGCCTTCTCCTCGACTGTCCCGCCTGCGCTGCCGGAAGACGAGCCGTTCTCAGTCGCCGACCCGCCGGACCTGATGGTGCGCGTACCGGCTCGGGCCGCGGCCCGCCAACCCGCCGCGCTCCCTCGCTCCGACCGCCACTCGGCGCGTGCCCGCCCTCGCAGGACGACGTGGACATAGCCTCGCCGCCGCCCTCTGCAGCGCTGCCGAGTCAAGGAGCGCCATCCGTGCTGGCGGTTCCCGAGGCCGACTTTGGCGCCTCCTTTCAGGACCTGGACATCTCGGCGCCGCCTCAGTCTGCCGGCCAGCCCGCGCCGCGCTTCGAGTCGAAGGCGGTCGAGCCTGCCGTCGGCGGCGCGGCCAGCGGCTCGGTGCCTCCCCTCCGCACGACTCCTCCCCTCCTCCCCTCCCCTCCCTGCCATCAAAGTCCCGTCCGGTTGGTCCGTCCGACCCGTCCTCTCACACCGCCAGCTCTCCCACTCACGCAGCCGTCGCTCACCCGCCACCCCGCCGCCCCGCCGTGCAGACATCCTCATCGACCGACCTGCACGTCGTCGTCGCGAACCCCGCCAAGCAGGCGCCCTTCCGACGCCCTCCCACTCCGCAGATCACCCCCTGTGCCCGCAGATCACCCCCCGTGCCCGCCATGCGCGCCGCGACGGCGTCTCTCCCCTGCCCGGCCCGCACCGCCGCTGTGTCGCTGCCCTGCGCAGCCGCCTGGGCGCACCCTCTCTCGACGTGCGGCCCCCCTTCCCGCCCCTGGTCAGGGGGACGGCATGTCCGCCTTCTTCACCTACGAGGTCATGACAAAGACGTCTCTGCCGCAGTACGCCTACGGCCAGTTCTCCGTCACGCGCCGCTTCCGCGACTTTGACTGGCTCCACAGCCAGCTGGTCCGACCGCCCACCCCACCCCACCCCTCCTCCCCCCTCTCCTTGCCTCCTGCCGCCCAAGCGCACACCGCCGCCGCGTCCCCTGCGCCGAAACCCCCTCCCTCCCTCGCCCACTCCTCGGCCGCCGAGCCGGCCCCCAGCCCCGGCGCCCGGCCCCGGCGCCCCCCCTCCCTCACCCCCCCCATCCCCCTCCCCCTCCCAGGTCTCCAAGTACCCGGGCACGATCGTGCCGCCCCTGCCGGAGAAGCACGCCGCGCAGGTGTCGACCATGCGCGTCTCCGGCGTCGGCTGCTCCTCCGAGTGGGTCGAGGTTCGGCGCGCGCAGCTGCAGCGCTTCCTCCAGCGGGTCGCCGCCCACCCGCAGCTGCACTCGGTCTCGGACCTGCAGACTTTCCTCGAGGCGAGAGGAGCCGAGATGCGCCGAGGGGGGCCGAGATCGACAGACGCTCGAGGGCATGCCAAGGACACGCCGATGGACGTGTCCCGCAGGCGTCCGACGACACGCTCGAGGCGTGGAAGCAGTCGTCGCAGCAGGCGGCCAACACACAACACACACACACACACACACACACACACACACACACACACACACACACACACACACACACACACACACACACACACTGCTCACTCACGCGCGCCGGGCCTTTCACTTTCAATGCGGTGGGGCCTCCTGTCGCTGGACGTGGAGATGCGAGGGCTGCCTCTCCGCCGCGTGCGCGTGGACAAGTGCACCTGACCTGACCTGACCTGACTGTGACCTGACTGTGACCTGACCTCAGGCGGCAAAAGCGTCGCCGTACTACAGCTCTGTCCTCACAGACGTCAAGTCCGGCCTCCTCTCGACGTACTCGCGCGCGGCGACCATGCTCTCTGCGGAGCCGCTGCCTTCCTTCCGGCCACAGGAGCGCCCCCCAACCCCCGCCTCGCTGCCTCTGCCCTCGCCTCCCTGCCCCTCCCCTCCCTCGCTGCCTCTCCCCTCTCCGCGCCGCCTCCGACCGCTCCGTGACCGCTTCATAGCGCCCCGCTCGCCCCCCTCACGCCGTCGCACGCCCTGCCGCAGGAGGACATGGCGTGCGCGCAGATGTCGAACTACGCCGACGCGATGGAGACACAGGTGGCGGCGGTGCACCGACACTCGAAGCGCTTCATCGAGCGCCACCGCGCGCTCGCCAGCTCGATGTCTGGGTTCGGGCTCTCCCTGACGCAGCTTGCAAACTGCGAGGCGGACATCAACCCGTCGCTGGCGCGCGCCCTCTCCTCGATGGGCATGTCCGTCGACCGCATGTCCAACTTGTACGACGAGCAGGTCCTTGCCGAGAAGCTTCCGCCGCCGCACCCTCGCCACACCCTTGGCTGGAACCCCCCCCCCCCCCGCCCACACCCCTCCCCTTCCCGCACTCCGCCCGCCCTCCGCCCGCGCCGCCCTCCTCCCCTCCCATGCTTCGCCTTGCCTGACGCATGCCCGACCCCTCCGCCGCAGGGCGCGCGCGAGGGGGCCGCCTTCGAGGAGCCGCCCCGCGGCTACTCAGAGCATCTCTTCACTGTTCCTCGCCGCCTCACAGAGGGGGGCTTCTGACTTGCAGGAGCCGCTGCGCGACTACATCAAGATGATCGGCGCAGCGAAAGGGGCCATCGGAGCGCGCGCGGCCGCGCTCTCCTCCCTCAACGGCGCCGCACGCTCGCTCACCGCCAAGCGTGAGAAGCTCGACAAGCTCAAAGGGCGATCCTCTAAGGAGGAGGCGGCGGCGCTGACGGCGCGCGAAGTGCGGGAGGCCGAGTCGCTCCACTCGATTGCGAAGCAGGAGTACGAGCAGGTCGCCGCGCGCGTCGACGGCGAGATGGCTCGTTTTCAGCGCGAGAAGCTCGCCGACTTCAAGGCGCGCGCCCCACCCCGGCGATGCCCGCCCCGGCTCGGCGGCCGCCCCAACTTAGCACCACGCCCCGCCGCCGCCTCCGCCGCGCGCGTGTGCGGCGGCGTGTGCCCGCGCAGCACTTGCTCACCAACCCACCCCTGCCCCCTCCCCCTTTCCCCCGCCCAGGCGATGCTCGTTGGCTTCGTGACGCTGCAGCTCGAGTACTCCAAGAGGATGCAGGTGCCTTCCGACACGTGTCCACGCGGGCTCCATTCTCGACACCCGCACGCTCTCCTGCTCTCGCTTACCGCCTTCGCCTTGCGCTTCCCTCCCCAGCCTCACCTCTAACACTTGCCCTCCCCATCCCACCCTTCAGTCCGCGTGGCGCGACTTGCTGCCGCACCTCGAGGGCATCTCGGACGGGCCTCCTCCGTCGGCGGGCGGCTCGGGCGGCACCTGACGATGAGCGCCAGCCACTTTCAGCATTAGCCACCGATGTGTAGCGAGTATGAACACACCTCCTGCGTCCTCGCCGTAATTTTGGGCCCGGGGGCAATGAGGAAGATAGTAGAGGAGAGGCCCGGTGTCTCCTCACTCTTGTGACTTGTCGGTTTTGAGCGAGGGGGGCGTCGGCGTGCTGTGTCGCCCTCAAGCTGTCAAGCCAAAATAAACGATAATACCGACACATTCACGACTCCTCTTCCTCGTCCCCATCGCCATCCTCCGCCTCGCCCCCCGCCTCGCCCGTGCCTGCGTCCTCGCCGCCGCCCCCTTCCGCTTCGTCTTGCTCCAGGTCTCCTTCGTCGCCACCCCCGTCACCATCATCGCCGTCGTCGCCATCGCCGTCGTCAACATCCTCGCCGTCCTCGCCGTCCTCACCGTCCTCGCCGTCCTCCTCCCCAGCCTCCCCCTCTTCGCCTCCACCTTCGCCCTCGTCGAATTCATAAAGATCGGTTGCTCTCTCATTCCGCGAACCCCTTGAAGCTGTGCTCATGACGGGAGGGGGCACTGCTGCCGCGGCGACCCGAACTCCCTTAGGAATGGCGGTTGAGGCCCCCTTGGCGCTGCTCACGAGAGGTGCAGCAACTTCGAGAGGCGGCAGCCGCAGCGCTGACTCGAACTGGTTGTACTCATAAGTCACGACTGTAACAAACTTGTCATTCTTGGAGCCTCCAACAAAGGTGAGATCCTGCAGCCTCAGCCCAAAGTGCTCCGCTCTGAACTGACTTTCAGGCGCGCATTCTGAGCCCAGGTACATACGTAGACCTTCCCGGTCTGTCACGCCGTGACGATCCACAATGAGCCGGCGCACCGTCTCCAGCGTCTCGGTTGTATTCAAAAGAGCGGTGAACCGCATCGTGCACCATCGGTTATTGCGTACTTCCACGTGCGCCCACTTCTCCCTGTCTGCCGTCGCCCAGTCGAACCCGCCCTTGGAGCCCTTCTTGGAGCCCTTCTTCGCCTTCTTTGGCATCGCGGCGCGAGCCTTGCGGCGAGCAGCAGCCGTTTCACTTCAAGAGAACCAAAAGAAATGGCCTCCACTGCTGCCGTTTCACCGCAAGTCTGCGTTCGTCCGAATTCAGCCAATGGAGCGCCACCCGGAGTTCAGCCTTGCCCTCAAAGGGCTCCGCGTAGACCTTCACGCTGCTATGCAGGACATGATGGTCCCCAACTCCCTACGCACGGCTGTCGATCAGATCCTTGACCACGCCGCCGCCTCACTTACTGCGGCTGCCGACCTGGCGCTTGCCGCGGAGTCTCGGAAGAGAGTTGAGCTGCAGCGGGAGTGCAATGCACGCGTCGAGGCGACCCGCCGTGCCGGGGAGACACGACTACGCGACGCACTCGCCTTGGCCAGGCGGGAAGAAGCCGAGGTGGTGGAGACTCTGCAGCGGGAGGTTGCGGTGGCACAGCAGCAGCAGAAGAGTGCTCAAGCAGAAGAGCTTAAGGCTTCGGTTGCTGTGGCAGCTGCGGCAGCGGCAACGGACGAATCTCTCATTGCAGCTCAGCAACGCCACACGTTGCTCCTGGAGGAGCTCGACGAGGTGCGGCAGCGTGAGGCCACGCAGGCCGCTCAGCTCAGTGCCTCAGAAGAGTCGCGGGAGGCGGCAGAGGAGCAGATGGGCCGTGTACTCAAGGAGAAGGAGGAGCTGGGGAGGCGGGTGGATGAAGTGCAGCGGCTGCACGGGGAGGCCTCACTGCGTGAGGCCGTCACACAGCGTAGCTTGGCGGGTGTCCGTCTCGAGCTGCAGCAGCTGAAGGTGCGCCGTAACAAGAGCCAGGCCATCGAGGCGAGCACTCAGACGGGCGAGAGGTATCGCACGAAGGGAATGAGGCGAGAGGGTTCACGGGACGAAAGCTCACAGAACGGCCCAACTCCAGCCCAGGACGCTCCATCTTTCGTTGCGCCGGCCCTCCAAGCCGGCACCGCGGCAGGGACTGCCTGCCAGTCCGCCGTATGCGCGTCTTCATCAGGAGAGGGCGGTGGACCGTCGTCTTCCGCTTCTTGCAGCAGCGCCAGAGGCCCGCTACCGTCCCCACCATCGACTCCAGGCCTCAGGGCCGCCGCCACGGAGGATTGCAGCCACGCAATAGAGGACCTGAGTCTCCCCATCGGAGGCTCCCCCTCCCACTCCGCGAACTCGGCCAAGTCCTCGCCCTCCACGAGAAGGGCAGATGCAGGTGTTCGACGGGGGACGGAAATGCCAAACAGTGACCCGCTGCGGGCGGGCTCTGCCCCGCCGGTGTCTCCTGGGCGTGGGCGTGGGCGTGGTCGCGGAGCTGCACGCCGCAACACGTGCCCGGTGGGAGGTGGAGGGCTCGTGACGCCGGCGGGGCGGTTGACGCCGCCTCACTCAGTCGCCGCCCGTCCCGCCGACGGCGCAGGGCTCTCGGTCTCACCGCCGCCGGCACGGGGTGCCACGCCGTTGACCGCTTTGCACACTCAACGCGGAGAGGAGGTTGCTGAGGCGCCGAAAAGCAGCCGCGGCGTGCGCAAAAGCAGCGACACCGCGCCGACTACGCCGAGGCCTGCCCCAGGTAGCTTGAATGCCGCCTTTTTTGCGACGGGCGGGGGCCGGGGCGCACAGGCCACGGCCTACGACACGCTCGCGAGCGCCGGGGAGGGACCCCCGCCGGCGCTGGCTCGTGAACTGCGAGCGCGCGCGGAGGCACTACAGGAGCTCATAGCCTTTCGGGCAGCCACTGAGCCGTGCTCATGACAGGGAGTAATAATGAGGGCGGTCGCGTAGAGCGTAAACAACAGAAGCGACCCAATTTCACGTGTGAAGTTGGGACAGAGGAAGTGCAAAACACGTGGTGCGTGTACGCAACGAACCAGATAAGAGCAAGCTGCAAGGGTAAGAGTTTCTGGCCAAAACGAACAAATTCTTTAGCACAAAACTCCCTCGCACAACGCAGGGCAGTCTGGCACGCATTGGCACGGATACACCACAAAAATAAACATTTTCATCTCAAAACTCCCTAGGAACAACATACCTAAAACAAAACTCCCTAGGAAAGGAGAAAGAATGGAAAAAGAAAAAGTTATCCCCAAAGAACTTGCGCAGCGTCCGTCCACCGTTGCGACATTTCGCTCGTCGCGAGGACCGAGGCGTGGACGCCGCGCCTGTCGCAACAGCGGCTTGCCTGCCCTTGAATGCCTGCCTCTCAGACCCTGATCGTCGGCGCCGGCGGTGCTGTCGGGAAGCGCCTCACCGCAGCCCTCGCCGCTCGCGGCTCCCGGGTCATTGCCGCTGACCGGATGCCGCAGCTCCCTGACTCCATCACAAGCATTGCCTCGGTGCAGCTCACACCTCTTCCGCAGCCTCGACGAGTCTCGCAGGCCTTCACCTGCGGCCACACTTCGTTCGTAGGTCTGCGTCGGCGGCGTGGACGTGCGCGATCAAGAGGCGCTCGTGAAGCTTTTCAAGGAGCACTCATCAGCCTGCCTAGGGTCGTCAGGAATTGATTCTTTGACGGTTAGTCACCTACCGCTAGTAGGAGCACGCCGACGCCGACACCACGGTGTGGAACCTGGCGGCGCCGCTCTCGGTGGAGACGGCTCTGGACCCGGCTGTTGCCGAGGCGGTCACGATGGGCGGCATGTCAAAGGTGCTCACGGCGATGCGCGAGGTTGGCGCGAGGCGGATCTGCTTTACCGATTCCATCGGCTCCTTTGGGGCGGAAGCCCCGCGGAGCGGCGCGACGGCGCGTTGGCTGACGGAAAATCCCACCCAGGACCCAGGATCCGACTATGGCAGGCAGAAGCGCGGCTGCCGGGAGCTAATGGCGGAGTTCGCGTCTGCAGCGGGTGGCGACCCACGGTTTGCGGTGCGCTTGAGCATCGCGTGGCGCGCCGCCAACAGTCTTCGGGTGGGAGCAACGTCATTGCCTAATAGGTGCTACCCGGCGTGCTGCACAGCGAGGCGATCTGGGGCAACGGTACCACCGAGTACGCTCTTGATGCGCTCCTCGCGGCGTCCAAGGGGGAGCAGTACGAGTGCCCGGTCGAGCCCGACGTCACCTTGCCGATGATTTTTGTCGATGACTTGGTGCGGCCGACAGGGTTTGAGGCGGGTGCGTTTTCCATCGAGCTCACGGGATGTGTGTCTTCCCCGCCGCGCGCAGATGCGAGGGCTGCTAGCGCTGCAGGACGCAGAGGAGTCCGCGCTGCACGAGCCCGAGAATGGGTACGCCATGCCGGGGCTCTCCTTCTCGGCGGAGGAGCTCTTCGAGGAGATCCGCCGCCACGTCCCCGACTTTGTGCCGACGACAAAGCTGGATGATAACATGGCCAAGTTTGCACGGCTTTGGCCAGACACCCTCTCGACGACCGAGCCTCTCCGCGACCTCGGCTACGCGCCACAGGTGGCTGTGCCCAAGATGGTGGAGACCTGCCTGGAGGCGCACGCGTATCGCAAGATGCGCGCTGAGGCTTTCTTTCGTGCCATCGACGCCGACCGGAACGGCCTCCTCGACAAAACCGAGATCAGCCACTTTATGGTGACGCATCTGATCAAGGGGCGCGAGGAACGGGGATGGCTCATCCAGCGCGAGGATCTGGTTGAGGAGATGGCCAGTAAGGTGATCACCGAGATGGATCTGAATGGCGACAGCCTGGTCTCGTCCGAAGAGCTTTTCGAGTGGTGCCGAAGGAACACATTCAATGGGCTAGTGGAGCAGTTTGTCCAGGAGAGGGCGTAGCGCGTAGCAAGATGCGCTCTGCTGCAACAGATCAACATCAACCCCGCTCCATGCGCCAATCGCAGGAGAGAGCCGCCTCGGACTGGGACACTGCGTCTTCGCTGCACAAATATGCGCAGCCTTGACCATTCAATCCGCGGGTGCAACCGATGCGAGTCGGTCTCATGGAGACTTCAAATCCGCCTTACCGCTCTCCCGACAGCGACACCCGACAGCGACACGCGACACCTGAAAGTGAAACTGTGACTCCTGAGGCTCCCGCGTCCCGGGCGCGGGCCAGAGTACTCTGGTGTCTAGAGGGTCGATGCAAAATGTTTTTGAACAAAAGTTCAAAATGCAGCCCAGGCGCAGCGCGCAGGGGGACTGCATGGCAGTTGCCAGTTCGACGATCCAACAGACCACACACGTCACACCAGTCACCACTGACAACATTATCGTAAGTTCGTAACAAGGGGATTAGCGGTGACTAGACGGCAGACTTCGCGACACCGTACCCCCCGCCTCACACATCTCACAGACTCAAGACATTTCACGATCGTCCCCACGCTCCTCCGATGTGAGTCTGCCCCCCACCCCCCCTCCCGCTCCCCTCCGCACCCACCCTTCCCCCCTTCTTGCTCCGCGCCACCGCCTGCTAGTCGAGTTCGATCGTGCTGCTCTGCGCCTGGACCGCCGCCGTGCTGACGTCGCTCTCGCGGTCGATGGAGATGTCGGTGTAAGGGGTCGAGCTGGCGCCAGAGGAGACGTGGGAGGGCGGGGCGGAGGGGGCGGCGCTGGGCGCCGGGCGCGCCGCCATGACACCGGACCCCGCCCGCTGCGCACTAGCCTGGTCCTCGCGGTCGATGGAGATGTCGGTGTACGGGGTCGAGCTGGCGCCGGAGGAGACGTGGGAGGAGACACGGGAGGAGGGGGCGGCGGAGGCGGCGCCGCCCGGCGCTTGGTGTGCCGCGGTGACACCGAGGAAGTGGTGGCCGAGCTTCAGCTCGAGCTCACTGCGCTCTTGGCGGAGCAGGGCGATCTCGTCCGCCTGCCGCCTCCTCTCCGCCGTCACTTCGGCGAGCTGCGCGACCAACGAGTCGACCTCCTCCGCCTGCTGGATCGCGGCGACCTTGATGGCGGCTCGAGTCGCGTCGAGTACCTCCGCCTTCTCCTCCTCGGCCTCGAGGCGCATCCGCTCCTCCGCGGCGGTCACGGCCGCCTCCTGCTGGTGCCGCCCGTGCTCGTGCGCCTGTCCGGAGGAGGGGGGGGAGGGTCTCAGAGAGGGGACGGGGCAAGGGGTTGGGCGCGCACCGCTCGCGCAGCTCGCGAGTCCGCTCTCGCCCCCTCGCCCCTCCCCCCCTCACTGCCTGCTGGAGCAGCTCCTTGATTTGCAGCTGCTGCTCGTCCGCCGCCTCCTTGTACGTCTGGTGCACCTGCGCCAGCTGGCGAGCGTTCCGGTCCTCGACTGCGGTGACCGCCGCGCGGATCTGCTTCTGCACGGCCGCCGGCTGCGACGCGACGTCCTGCGCGAGCTCCTTGATCCGATTCTCGACCTGCGACGCCTGCATCCGCTCCATCTCCCTCGCGCGCTCCTCGGCCCTCCGGATCGCCGCCTCCACCTCCTCCTGCTTCTGCAGCGCCGGCTTGATGCGCGCCATCGTGTGAACCACCGCCTCCTCCACCGCCACGCGCACCGCCGCAGCCGTCCTCTTCGCCTCCTCCGCCCGACCGCGCGCCTCCGCCGACGCAACCTCCCGCGCGCGCGTCACCTCGGTGGGGAATGAGCTGAGATGAGCCGAGGAGCCGAGACGCCAATTGACGCAATCAATTTAGACAACAGAGCACGGCCACCTGGGCAGCGCGCTCCGCGTCGCCAACGGCGGACGAGACGGCGCGCTGCACCGCCCGCTCCTCGGCGGCCTTGCGCTGTGCGAGCGCCTCCGTCACGGCGGCGCTCACCGCCCTTTTCTGCGACGCCGCGTGCCGGACCTCCGCGGCATCGAGCTCGCGGCTTAGCTTCGCCTCCGCCGCCTCGCGCACGCTCCGTGCCGCGTCGGCGCTCTGCCCCACGAGCGCTTGCATGGCGCTCGCCTCCACCGTCCTCACCTGCCGAGTGGGGCGGGGGTGGCGAGTGGGGACGGGGTGGCTCAGCGGCGGCGGTGAGTCGAAAAGTCACGGCGCTCGCGGCTCCGAGTGAGCGACGCAAGCTAGAGCACGCACCCGCTGCCGCTCGTGAGCTTCGAGGGCCTCGGCGATGGCAGCGCGCCTCGCCTCCGCCTCGCGCGCCCTTACCGCCTCCACCGCCGCCTTGACCGCCGCGTCCGCCTTCCCTTGCTGCGCGGCGCGCTCGTCGAGGCGCGCAGTCGCCACCGCCGCCTCGACCGCCTGCCGCATGCGCAGCGCGTGCTTTCGCCGCTCGTCGGCGAGCGCCTCGCGGACCGCGCCGTCCCTCTGCCGCGCCGCCTCCGCCTTCGCCCTCTCCCTCTCCGCGTCCCTCTCCGCCGCGTGCTCGAGCGCCGCGCGCTGCTTCTCCGACTCCACCGCCGCCTTCACGGCGCCCTCCGCCGCCGAGCGGTGGAGGGGCGCCGCCAGCGCGATGGCTTTCGCCGCCGCCTTGCTCGTGCCTTCGCGGACGGCGCCGAGGCGCAGCTCCGTCGCCTGCAGCCGCTCCTCAGCCTCCCGCCTCGCCGCCCGCTCGCGGCCCAGCTCATCGGCGACCTACGCGATCCGCCGCACACCAGCGGCGCATGAGTCAGCGGTGCCCTCGCCCTCGCCCTACCCGCGCGACCCCTTCGCGAGCGGCCTGCGCGCGCACTCGCTGGTCGGCCGCCCGCATCGCCGCCTCCATCACCCCACGCTCCGCCACCACCGCGCGGCTCTGGCTCATCCGCTGCTCGGCTGCCTTGACGGCCTGCTGGATGGCGAGCGCCTTGTCCTCTGCAGCCTGCGGGGCGGCTCAGAAAAGGCTGAGAGAGAACAGGCAAGGTGGCGTCGGAACGCCCTGCTCGCCGCCGCCTCTTCGGCCAACCTCTCGGATGCCTCCTTGAGCGCGCTCGCGACCGCCTGTGAATAGGGGGGAGGGGCGGGCAGGGAGAGACGCGGAGCTGAGAGGGGAAGCCGCTTCAGGCCGCAACGACCGACCGACCGCGCGCGCCTCCCGCTTCTCAGCCTCGGCGCGCTCGGCGGCCAAATCGAGCGCCGACTGGGTCTGAGGGGAGAAACAGTGGCCGTCAGTGATCGGCGGGGCCGCGGGGCAGCGCGGGAGGGCGTCGAGAGGGTCGCGCCCACTCAACTCTCTCCACGCTCTATTGCGGCCACGGCCCCACATCTTCAAGGCTCCACACATCTTCAATCTCTCGGCTAGACCTCGGCGCCTCCTCGGCGCGCTGCCGATCCGTTGCCTCTCTCGCCTCCTCCACCGCCTCGTGCAGCAGGATGTGCATCTTCTCCTACTCCCCGACATCTACCCGAGGTAGAGCCGGGAGGGAGGGAGGGCCGGGCAGGGCGGGTCTGTGTCTGTCTCCTTTTGCTGCTCCAGTCTGGCCTCCGCTGCCCGCTCCACCTCTCGCCTCGCAACCGCCACAGCGCGAGCCTGCGCGGCGGACGCCACACGCACCACCTCCGCCTTCGCCTCTGCGAGCAACGCCGCGTCGCGCGCGTCGCCGCCTCCGCCTCCGCCGGCAGCAGCCTTAGCAGTGAGCCGCTCCCACACTCCGACGAGGAGTTCGTCGAGCCCCTCCACCTCCGCCACGCCACGCGCGTCTGCCGACGGCGCGTTGCTGCCCTCGCCGCCGTCGCCGTCGCTGTGTCCCGCCCGGCGCGGCTTCGCGGCTGCCTGCTGCTGCTCTGCGCGCGCCGCCGCCGCTCGCTCGCGCGCCGCGTGCTGCTGGCGCATCTTCTCGAGGTGCACCGCCTCCTCCACCTAGCCGCGGGGGCGAGCGGGCCCGCTGGGCAAGAGCACACGCCGCGCGGACTTGTCAGTGTGCATGCCGCTGCGTGCACCGGCTAGATTGCTACGGGAGCCCGCCCGTGACTATGAAGTGCGTATGCCTGCCGGTGCAAGCCTGCCTGTCTGACGCGCCCGCGACTCGTCGTGTTTCGCATCTAGACTGTCCGGTGCCATCGTCTCGAGCGCCTTGTCGACGAGCAATCGCTGGCTCTGCACGCTCGCGTCCAAATCGGCGCAAGCGACCTGCGACGTCATCGCACGCGACGCCTCGACGGCACGCTCGACGGCAGGCGCCAGCAGCTCCTCGGCCACGTCTCCTGCACGACACATGCGCCGGACGTGTCACGGACATGCCATGCTGCAGCCGGAGCTAGGCCCTCCGCGACGTCGCCGACAAACGCGGGCGGGGGACAGACGGCCGACGCGCCGCCGCCGCCTCCCGCGACGCCGCCGCTCTCGCGCTCCTGCCTCTCCCGCGCCGCCTGCCGGGAAGGGAAGGGTCTGAGACGCTTCTGCACACCACTAGCCCCCCCCCCCCCCCTCTCTAGATGCCCTCGCTCCAAGCCCGAAGGCTGAGGCAACGACCCCGCGGCACGGAGAGTGCAAGGCCCGGTGCTCGCGCAGCCTTGGAGAGGCGACTCATCTCGGGCCATCATCTCAGCTCATCTCGGGTCATCATCTCGGGTCATCTCAGCTCATCTCGGCTCATCTCGGGTCGCCTTGGAGAGGCGGAGCTGCTCGAGCTGGAACGGCCCCGCGTTGTCGATCGTCCCCTGCCACTTCCGCGCCTCCGCCGAGAGCGATGCGGCGAGCTGCCCCGCCGCCGCCGCCTCTGCGGAGAGGTTGAGTCGCTGCTCCTGCGAACGCAAGCCATCTCGGGCTGACCTCGCGCTGATCTCGGGGGTGAGGCTCGCGGCGGGGCGGGAGAGCTGTCGCTCCTCGCTCAGTGTGCGGCCCGAGTCGAGCAGCTGCTGCAGCACGGCGAGCTTCTCCTGCCGCGCCTAAGGTGAGGGACAGGTGAGGTGAGGTGAGGTGAGGGACACTGCTCCGCACACACACTGCCCTGGTGGGGCAAGGGCCAAACGACCCTCGCGTCTCCACGTCTAAAAGACAGGAACCCCACGGCATTCAGAGTGCAAGGCCCGGTGCGCGTGGGGGGGCAGACACCTTGCTCTGCACCCCGCTCAGCGTGTTGGCGGCCTCGCGGTGTACCTGCGATCTCGGGCAATCTCGGGTCATCTCGGGCCCTCTCGCGCAATCTCGCGGCCTCGCGGTGCTAGACACATGAGGCGAGCACGCATCAGACGCCAGTCGGCGTGCGTGTGTGTGTGTGTGTGAGGGGGGGGTGCTCGAGCTGTGTGCGCTGCTGTGTGCGCTGCCGGGAGTGCAGCACTCTAACGTGCCGCCACAACTCTAGCCGCCCGCCTCGGCGTGCTCGTGCGAGCGGAGGACCTCGGCAAGCAGCCACGCCTCGGCCACCTATAGCACGCGTGGCGGGCACGGCACCGTGCGCCGTGTGGCGTGTGCACTGGGAGCACTGCGCGGTCACACACGAGTGCAGTGAGAACAGTCGAGTACAGGCGTGTGCAAAGCTCTGCGGCTCTCCGCATCTAGGATCGTCCACCGCCGCGGCGTGCTGCTCGAACGCGCGCCGCTCAACGTCGAGCAGCGCCATTGCGAAGCAGCGCAGCAGCGAGGTCCGGCGCCCCGCGTCCTCCTCGCCCGCCTTTGCACTCCCGCCCTGGGCCGTGCCGTCGGAGGCAACGCCGCGCGCGATCCGCGAGACCCGCCCCTCCCCCCGCCCCCGCCCCTCCTGCCCCTCCCCCTGCCCCTCCCCCCGCCCCTCCTCCCGCCCCTCCTCCCTCGGCCCGCCCCCCCCCTGGTGCCCCTGCGGCGACTCGCCGCCGCCCTCGCCGCCGCCTCCGTCTGGCGTGTCGAGCGGCGGACACAGCGCCGAGCCGCTCCTGCACGCAACTTGCAACAGGGTGAGGACAGGGCGAGGACCCTCCCGCGACCCGCGGCACCTTCTGTCGCTCCCCTGGCTTGACGTCACGGGCGGGTGCAGCTCCCCCTTGGGTCACAGCTCCCCAAGGGCACAGCGGAGCACGGCACTCTCTCCGTGTCGTCTCTCCAGTGAAGCAAGGCTGCTGCAGGGGCCCCGCTGCAAGGCTGCTGCAGGGGGCGCTGCAAGAGCTGCTGCAAGAGCTGCTGCGGGGGCTGCTGCGGGGGCTGCAGGCTGCGGGTGCGGCGGTGGGGGTGGGGCGAGATGTCTCCCTCCGCGCGCATCTAGGCGGCACGTGCCTCCCTGCCAGCTGGTCGAGGGCGAGGCGGGCGGTGTGCACCGCCTCGAGCGTCGCCGCCTAGGCGTAGTGGTGAAGCGACTCGACGCCGAGGGAAGGAGGGGTGGAGGGAGGGAGGGATGGAGGGAGGGGTGGAGGGAGGGAGGCAGGATAGGTAGGGAGGGAG